GCAGACGCTGTTGCGGATACGATGACACCGCGGGTACACGTCACGGAGGCCGCGATTACGGGCGTGTCTGCATCCTGCCAAATACCCCCGCCGGGCCCGAGCATCGAGGCCATGTTAAACATTAAGATGTCACAATTGGCTCTTTCCTTGAGGCAGGAAATTTCTGCCATCCGTGAATCCTTGGTGGACCAGGGGCAATCTTCCCGTCGCAGGTGGACCCACCGAAATCATCCAAACTCGCGCTACCGCAGACGATCTCTATCGCGATCGCGAGAGCGGCCCGCGGGAGGACAAATGGACCATCAAGGGAAATGCTGGTACCATTGGCGGTTCGGTCCGGCCGCGCAGAGGTGCGTTGCACCGTGCAATTGGAACGCCACGGATCAGGGAAACGACCTGGGGAGTCGTTGATGGCGGCCAGCGACACAAATCCAGCATCACGCCGCCTCTTCATCTTAGACAACAGCTCGAAGACGGAATTTTTAGTGGATACCGGGGCCGATTTGTGCGTTTTTTCCGCGCCGCCTGCTAGGCGGATTGCGAGAAAGATCGGAGTACCAGCTGGCGGCGGCGAATGGGAGTGTAATTAACACCTACGGGACAGTGTCGTTAAACCTGCACCTCGGCCTACGACGGGATTTCGTGTGGCGATTCGTGGTTGCGGATGTTACAAAACCCATAATCGGGGTAGACTTTCTCGATCACTTCGATCTTATGGTGGACATCCGCAATCGTCGCCTCGTCGATCGGACCACGTCGTTAACGGTCCGCGGAACACGAGCCGAGGATGAAACGCCGTCGGTGAAGACAGTAGCAGGGACTACCGTTTACCACCAGCTCCTGATGCAGATGCCGGAACTTACACGGCCTAGCGGCACCCCGATGAGGACTACGCACCAAACGGTGCATTACATCGAGACAACCCCTGGACCACCCGTTTCCAGCAAGCCGCGGCGGCTTGCACCGGACCGGCTCAGGGCTGCCCAGAAGGAGTTCGACGCGATGGTGAAGATGGGCATCGCTTGTCCTTCGAAGAGCGCGTGGTCAGCACCCCTTCATATGGTTCCGAAGAAGGGCGAAGAAGCTTGGAGGCCTTGCGGTGACTATAGAGCGTTAAACGCACGGACAATTCCCGACCGATACCCCGTGCGTCACATTGAGGATTTTGCGCAACAACTGAGTGGCAAAAAGGTATTTTCCACAATAGATCTCGTCCGAGCTTATAATCAGATTCCGGTTGCGTCGGAAGACGTCGGAAAAACGGCCATTACAACGCCGTTTGGGCTTTTTGAATTCCCGTACATGTCGTTCGGGTTACGAAATGCCGCGCAAACATTTCAGCGCTTTATCGACGAAATTTTACGCGGTTTCGATTTTTGTTACGCGTATATAGACGACATTTTGGTCGCCTCAGAATCCCAAGCCGATCACCTGCGCCATTTAGAATTATTATTTAAACGATTAAAAGATTATGGCATTGTTGTTAATCCGAATAAATGCACGTTCGGACAGGAAGAAGTTAAATTTCTAGGCTATCGGGTAAATGAAAGCGGCACTCAACCTTTGCCCGGCAAGGTACAAGCCATAAAGTCATTTCCCCTTCCGAAAAACGCGAAGGATTTGAGGCAGTACTTGGGAATGCTTAATTTTTACCGCCGTTTTATCCCAGATGCCGCTCGCTTTCAAGCACCCTTGAACGACCTTCTAGCCGGCAATTTAAAGGGCAAGACCCCGATAGCCTGGACTTCGGAAGCGCGTCAGGCTTTCGAAAATACCAAAAATAGTTTAGCAAACGCAACCCTGCTTTCTCATCCTGCGGTCAACGCTCCATTGTCGGTTACCTGCGATGCTTCTGATTACACCGTAGGAGCTGTTTTACATCAGTACGTCGGCAACGAACGACAACCATTAGCATTCTTTTCTAAGAAATTAGGATCTGCCGAAAAGAAGTATTCAGCTTACGACCGGGAACTACTTTCTATCTATTTAGCAATAAAACATTTCAAACATATGCTCGAAGGCAGACATTTCACGATTTTTACAGACCATAAACCCATAACTTTCGCTTTCAAACAGAAATTAGATAAATGCTCTCCTCGACAATTCCGATACCTAGATTACATTGCGCAATTCTCTACAGATATTCAACATATTTCCGGTAAAGACAACGTCGTTGCCGATGCACTGTCCAGAGTGGAAACGGTTAACCACTCGATTAATTTCGAAGAATTGGCAAAATCGCAAGCCCAGGATGAGGAGTTGCAGCGGTTGTTGAATAGCGAATCTAGCCTGCGATTACGTAAAGTCTCGTTGCCTGGCACGTCTTCCGAAATTTTTTGCGATATTTCGACTAAGAATGTAAGACCTTATGTCACCCCTCCTTTCCGACGCGCAGTTTTTAATATGTTACATGTATTATCACATCCAGGTATTAACGCGACGATCAAGCTCATAACGCAACGTTATGTTTGGCCGTCGATTAAAAGAGATGTTCGCACGTGGACACGTTGCTGTATACCGTGCCAAAGATCAAAAATTCCCCGTCATGTGACTGCACCATTGGCTACATTTGTTAAACCTTCTGCGCGATTCGAACACATTCATTTAGACATAGTAATTTTACCGGTGTCCGAAGGTTTCAGGTATTGTCTGACCTGTGTAGACAGATATACGCGGTGGCCGGAAGCCTTCCCCATGGTCGATCAGGAGGCCCAAACCGTAGCTCGAACCTTTTATGACGGTTGGGTAGCGCGGTTTGGTGCTCCCGTACGGATTACCACCGATCAGGGTAGGCAGTTCGAATCCAAATTATTTTTTGCGCTGAACAATTTAATTGGATCCACACGCCTTCGCACAACGGCGTATCACCCAGCGGCCAATGGGATGGTAGAGCGTTTTCACCGACAGCTCAAGTCGGCTATAAGGTGCCACGGATCCGACAGGTGGACAGAAATACTTCCGACGGTTCTACTCGGTATTCGTTCCGCCTGGAAAGAAGACCTCGGCGCTACCTCAGCGGAATTAGTTTATGGCGAGCCATTAAGATTACCGGGAGAGTTCTTGTCTTCGCATTCAGCGGAAGGCACAGAAAATGCTTCCGATTTTACTAATAGACTACGCAACCATTTTTCTAAATTGAGTCCCTCTAATGCATCACGCCATTCCGTTAATCGTACATTCGTTTTCAAAGATCTTAGCAGTTCAACACATGTTTTCATCCGAACAGATTCAGCCAAAACTATTTTACAACCCGCTTATGAAGGTCCATACGCCGTAGTGCGCCGAGGCGAAAAAACATTTACAATAAACATTAGAGGTAAGGAAATAAATATATCAATTGAAAGGCTAAAGCCTGCTTATATGCTAGCAGAAAACAGACCGGATCCCGTGAGCATAGAAAATCAGCCGGTCACACAAACAAACGTACCTGACAATGCGCCGGTTATACAGCAACGTGTTACGCGTTCAGGTAGACGCGTACGTTTTCCCGATCGATTTCAAATTACGCGGTAGTACTTAAGGCTTGCGCATTATTATAATAAGTATCATATACCATTTATTTTTATCCATCACTTTTATGTACTTTCATGTATTTTTAGGTATTACGTATTATATATTAAACTCCATGTAAATTCCTTTTTTTTTTTTCAACTCTGTTCAAATACTGTAATGTAAATCTTAGTTAGGATAACGTATTTTATATAGTAGAGTAAATGGTAGTGGTAATGTAGTCGGTCAATTTTTCGTAATTGTGCCAATTACTGGCAGGGGGGTAGTGTGGCGGCCAAGGCACCACATACGCCTTAGCCGTTCGAAGCCGCTACAATGTATGGTTGCACACGAGACGATGGTTGCACACGAGACGACCAGAGCCGCGTGAGCCGAAAAGCCGTTGTCGTCGTCTCTGACCGTCTTTTGTTTTTGAAGGCCTCTTGGTACGGTGGCGATGATCGTACCAGAGAGTCGAGCGTAACCCGCACCACGAGTCACGTCGTTGTACGACAGCAACAATAAAATTGTGCGGAACGGAACAGGGCGGAGTCATTACCTTCCCGATCCCACAATGAAATGCACAATTTCCATTCCAGATTTATTACCCGCGTTTCACGCGTTCCGGTTCTTTTCAACGGTAATTGATACGAAAAGCAAATAACGAGTGACGAGAATGGGTAGCGGAGACGTAACAAAATACGCTTGTGCTTTCACCGATCTGGATCGCGTTCAACCGGGAACCAAATTTGATACTAAATATCAATTTTCATCGAAAGTATTGTATATGTACATACATAAGTACTTGGTTCGCAGAAACGCGACTGGGGTTTCTATAGTTCGATGATACCGATGGACGTTTTCTTTTTATTTGCGAAAGACTCACGAAACCTTGCCTAGTCGAGGCTCGCTTTAAACAAAGGATATCGAGCAACGACTCTTCTTTTTATCTTTTTTTTTCACTCAGCCGTAAGTAAAAATTAATTCTTTTTTACATTTCCACGAATAACGATCAACGAATCGATCATAATCACCGATTATTATACGTATATTAACATCGATTCTGCCTGCTCTTTCCTTCGTTTCGCATTACATCGGGTCATAGATGGCTGAATCGAAACGGGAGTGTTTCACATACACAACGAGCAAAGCCAACTAATCGCGATCGAACGCCGCTGAACGGGTGATCGTAAGAGAGAAAGGTTCCATTTTTTTGTCACCGACAAAGTTCCCCTGTACAGGGTACATAGCCAACATCACGAAACGATTTGCATCTTGATTTATAAACCCGGTCCGACACATTGGCGTAGAAAGAAAAGAACTGCGGTTCCGCATAAAATTCCGTGCTAATCTGATTTTCCATTCGGTGTAACGGAATCGAACCGTTTTGATAAACTATTCCAAGAGGACTGGAGAAGAAGGGGATTGGGAAACAAGTATAAATTCTATTCGAAAGATCGTTTAATCGGTTAAGAGAGGAGCGGAATCGCGGAACGATCATGGTAAATCAATCACATAACTGTAAGCGCTTGGTTGGCGCCGCATCCAACGGTGCCCTGCATGTAATCCGGAAAGTTAGACTCCAACACGCGCATCCTGTTCCTCTTGTAATCAGCAATAACGTGAGTAGCGAGTGAGCACTCCTGGCTGGTGTATACCAGTTGGAAGTTTCGCGAATCGAACGACGTGCTCGCGTCCCATCTGTACACGTCCGGTTCGCCCTCGTAGCGGAAGAAGAGGGCGCTGCCATTGTCCGTACCCAAGATTACCATTTTTCTTTGCTTCTGGCCAAGATCGTGGACCCTTCCATTTGCGGAACCATTTCGCAAGTGCTCGGTACGGATCGAGAAGAGGCGACTTCCGCTCAAGTAGGTGAAGACCAGGCAGGTGCTTCCGTCTGAACGTCGCAGAAGGCCGAGGTACAAAACGTCTCTTCGCGTACAGCCGGCGGCGATGGCTTGGGGCAAGACAACGCGATAACCACGGCCGGAAGTCACGTCGTAGACTAGGATTGCTCGCGTGGCAGCGTCGGACACGTAGATGAACACCCGTCCGTCCGGACTGTAGTCCGACACCACGTATTGGAGACGGGACGTCGGACTTGTTAGACCAGTCAGCTCCACTGTCTTCACCAGCTGCGGCATAAATCAGGGGGGACGTGAGTAATTTCTGCGATTTGAACGGATTACACGATTAGTTTGTTTCGGGTATCTGATTGCAAATCCTATTCTTTCAAAATATTTCCACTCTCTTTTCTCTCAATAAAACTAACCAAGTTGCGACACAGGCAAATCGAAATCGCATCGAATGTACGTTCGTAAGAAACTATTCGTTATCCGACTGGAGTAGATGAGGTCTTTTAAGGAGAATAGAGGTCGAGAGATTGGTTAATTCGTATTTACTTTGGCTTGTTTCTTTTCCGGACAACTGGAATTTACAATGGAACGGTAGCTCACGTTTCACGGTTTTAACGATCACGGCGCTCGCGGTGCTCGGTGCTCGGTGCTCGGTGCTCGGTGCAAGATCGTTTGAAATTCACATTGCGCGCGGTATGTTCGCGTTCAACGAGCAACATTCGTCGATGTCGAAGAAGGATGCAAGGGCGAACCAAGGGGGGGTCGTTTAGGGACGAAACGAATACGCGATACACTTGCCTTTCCAGTATTCACGTTCAGAGCAACGACTTTCGGCGGACATTTGCGTACAGGTTCCTCCAGAGTGTTCACCACTCCAGTGTCGAGGACCCAAAGGATGTTCTGGGGGTCCAAATAAAGGTCTACCGCGTTCTGCAACGCGCTACAGGTTCCCTCTTCTTGTACGGACCAGCAGGGATAAGGAACCAGATTGGCTTCACAGCCTTTCTCGTTCAAAGACACTTTGGCCAAAGTTGCTGGCACTCCGGACTTGAATCTACGTTAAAAACCAACTTGATAAATCGAATCTTCGTAATCGGTTAGTCGAGGCATACCTGGGTAGAGCCACAATGGCGTCGTCCTTGCTAATCACGGCCCTTGTGGCGATCACGTTCTTCGAGATGTAACGTCCACCGTTCTTGAACATGTTTTTCGTGGCGGTGCATGGCCACTCGAACGATCCACCGGTCCATTTCACGCTAGAGGTATGCTCAGGTTCTCTCACGATAGTGACTCGATGATCGTCTGTTGTAGCGGAAACGACGGCGATCGTCACCATCAACAAGGATAGAAACTTTCCCATTAAAATCATCTTGTAAGAGTTTTACGAAGAGTAAAGTCGTTGTTGTCGATCGAAATCGACTGAACTCTGAAAAATATTGAGGATCGCTCCAATTATATACGAGCTTCTGCGTCTCCGGCGTTACGAAAGAGGCGTCAAGTTTGTCAAAATATTTATTGTTCCGTCGAAACGTGAAACCGTTCCGCGTCCCGTCTCTTAACGTTGCTGTTACCATTTCTACGACCGAGAAAATCCCTGAGATTCGTTCTACACCTTCTACTTGACAATTTCGTACCATTAATAATAATAATAATATTGGGTAATTATTTATCTTGGCGAGTTCGAAACAAAATAAATAAGACGTCTCTACGATTCTTGTGATTCTTCTTTTTTTCTTCCAGATATTATATGTAATTTACCGTAAGTACTTCCGTAAATCAATTCTGTACGTGTCGGTGAAATAATTGTATCAATCAACGTCTCGAATGCAAAAACTTGCTCAACGTTTTATTATTTGGTAAACACCTGACCAAGATACGTTTCCTTGTTGCCATCTACGTCCCGTGCAGCCTTGTCCGGCCGTAAATATTGCGACACACGGAAGAAGATGTTATTTAATAAATACACAACTCGTGCTCGACGAGGGTGTTATGGAATTTGTCGATTCGCGTGTGTATATAAGCATAAAGTCGAATATAAAATTCGCACGTTCGAACATCTTGGTCCATTCACGACGAAAACTCGCGTAAGTACAGTAGTCTTTTTGAACGGTCTTGAAAGATCCGTTACTGTTTTGCGAAAAGTCTAACGCGGAGTAATATAACGAAATCGTTTAGCAACATGAAAAGATTCCTCGTGGCCGTCTGTTTGGCGTTCTTGGGAGCAGAAATGGCGCTAGCCCATAACGAACAATCGTTACAAGATTTATCGATAACGGTGTCGGGCCAGACTCTGGACTGGCCTTGTCAGAGTACAAAGAACATCTACGAGACCAGCGGTCGTTACATTGCCAGGAATGTGATCGCCACCAGGGCACAGGTGTACAAGGATCAAGTGATCCTGGCAATGCCACGCTACAAGCCTGGCGTACCCTTCACTCTTGGTTCCGTTTCCATCAAGGCGAAACACTGTTCGCCAAAGGTGACTCCGTTCCCTTGCTGGGCGATCCAGGAAGAAGGGAACTGCCAGGCTCTGCAGAGCGCCGTCGACATTGTCCTGGACATGCAAGACATCCTCTGGGTTCTTGACGTTGGCATCGTTAACACTCTGGAGCAACCTGTGCGAAGATGTCCCCCCAAAGTGGTCGGAGTGAACGCTAGGACTGGAAAGGTACGCTGTGATTTCATTCGGTTCTGTTTGCGATTCAACAACCGGCGCGGCACGGTTCAAAATTAACATTTCGGGATCTTTCGGGCCCGATTTCCTGCAACAATCGAGCTTTTTTTCAACTTTTTATTTCTCTAGATCCGTGGAACGTGCGATAGTATTAATAATGGGTAAAAGGGGTGAAATGCGCGGTGTGATTACAGGTGGTAAAGGTGATCGATCTGAGTGCGTTGGTGGATGCGTCGTCTCGCCTGCAATACATGGCCGTCGACTACGCGGAGGATGGTCAGGTTTACGTGTACGTTTCCGACGCCGGCACCAGGGCCATAATCGTTTACAACGTCACCGCTGATAGCGGGTATCGCGTGGTGCTTCCGAGGGCAGTCACTTCCGGGGCTGAAAAGAAGGACGCGCTCTACTTGGCGCTAATCAGGAGAAGCTGCGGCACGCAGCTACTCTATTTCACCTATCTGGGCTCTAACCGAATCTTCGCCATCAGAGCTACCAACCTGAGAGCCGGAAACGCAAACGGATCCGTAGCGGAGGTTGGCACGAAGAAAAACAAAATCGTCTTACTGGGAACCGACAACGGATCGGCGATCTTCTTCAGAATTAAAGGTAGGGAAAGCAAACACTGGGGAGCAGAGCAACCCAGTCATTTCATTCAATGAACAAAATAACGTTTAAACGTTTCTGGTTGATATTTAGGCGACGCGAACATCTACATGTGGAACACAGAGACTCCGTTCGTGATGGACAACTTCCTGTTGGTCCAAAAGGGCAGCGATTGCAGACTGCCAACCGCAGTCATCCCCGGTTACAAGAGACTCATGTGGGTGATCGAGAGCAACTTCCAGGATTATATCGAGAACACTGTCAGCTGTTCTGGCGCCTCTGTCTCTCTTCATCCCTTGATGAACACTTGCGACGATCAGTATTAAAGATTTTTCAAACGGCGACAATTACGGACGTACAACTGTGAGAATATGTATTCTCACTCGACCCACGATTAGATAGATCGCTTACGAATGTCAACACCACACTGTTTCACACAAAATTTCGACCATCTTCGACACGAATAAACTCCTTGATAATAATTGCATTTCCTTTTTTTCTCCTCGTGTAAAACGTTCGATCGTCCAGTCCATCAATTAATCGCTATTAAAACTATTCAAATTACAAAGGTTTCGTTAATTAAGTAATATGGTATATATTACATATACATACCCTACGACCCTCGATACTCGAATATCTTCCATTTAAAAATACACAACTAATCTTCGTGTACTTACATTAATGTGTGTGTTTCTTGGCTGTTTCAACGTATTGTATTGCGATCTACGGCCAACAAAGTCGAGTTGACTGCCATCTGTTATGGTGTCGAGGGCCAAACTGACTGCCATACCGACCTAAAAATTCCGAGGTGCTCGTTACCGTTCGCTTCTCATGGATAGCGGCCAGTCGAAACATTCACTGAATCAGCGATAGGCAAACAGACTATGTAGTCGCGTACGAATTATTCGCGTATCTTTCACCAGTTAAAGTTGTAAATACATAATTTGCTAAAATCAGTCTATCCGAGGTCTCTATCCCAACAGGCATCACTCGGCTTCGTAATATGTAGGTACAAGCTTCGTGAGACATCGGAACTTTCCCCACCCCGCCGCCTAATTCACGAGCGTTGCCGAGCACAGCGGACGACGGGGACGACCCATCATTCGTACTTTGTAAATAAACATAGCAAGACGTATCGGCGTTCCGCGACCGAGGTGCGTATATCTAACCTGTTGATCTTTCCACTATTACTACTCGCGTATTACTACTTACGATCTCTTGCAATACGGTTTCGATTTAACCATTGCTTCGTTCTAATAATCGTTCGTGTACTTTAAAATGCATCGTTATTTCGTTTCTGTTACAGTCTCCTATTGGAATTCGAAATTAAGAAGACTCGTTGAAACCTATCAAGACGTGTCGGCGTTTCGTGACCAACGAACTAAGTAAGTACGTATTTCTAACCTTTTCCTATTTCCTCGTTATAATCAATAATCATTGTTTAATTATGATTTAATTTCTATTTTATTTCTGTTGCAGTCTCTGATTGAAATTCGACGCCATGGGAAGTTTCATTGGCGCGTAAAGTACACCATAACAGATGGCAGACGAGTCGAGAAATTTCTGTGGGTATATTGGTAACGTTCAAACAATTATAACAAAAATTAACATGCATATTATTATTTATACATTTTTATCATACATATTTTTACTCGTTGCAAGCATGATCCTAATTTTCTAATCGGTCATTGTTAAGATAAATTTGACAAACTTTTTATCCACTTCGATATACGTACTTACATATGTATGTATGTATGTATGTATGTATGTATATCGAAGTACATATTCAGAAATGGCGTCGGTATATGTATATTAACGATACATTGGAATAGTTTATATTAGACTGTATTCCGATCGCGATTAAATATTGCCGACTGTTATTTATTTAATCGATCGTTTAGATTTCTTTATGAATCGTTGTAATTGCAATTTGCATACATATTTCGATACAAGTTTCAGTAAACGTAGTAACCGCGGAGTTGGAATATGCTATTCGAGCATAAATAACCAGCGAACTTTAATTCTTGCAAATTACGGAATATTTAAAAAATCTTACGGGATATTCTAACATTCGATAAAGTAAATATAATCATGCTTACAACTCTAACGATGAAATTTAGTGATATAATATTTATAAATTGAATAATTACTTGTACGTAATTAGTTTTCGTAGATAATATTTTATCGTTGAAATTCTCATCGATCGAGAATATTTCGCCTTCGTGGCATTGATTTTGTACGGGATAAACTATGTATGTATACAGCGGTGCAAAGTAAAGCAGTATGTATTTCTGTTGACGAATTCTAGTAAGAAGAAAAAAGAAAATCGATAGGCAAAGCACAGATGTGCTTGTTTTGTTTCTTGTCTCCTGTCCCTTTCTTTTCAGCTGTTTTACTTTCCAGGAAATTTGTTGGCCGAGCGCAATGCGGCCGGTAGATTCAGTGATCGAGCGTAGCAACAAGTTTGTTTCTCGGGGCAAAGTGACCCCAGTCGTTTTACGTGTTAGGCAAACGCGAGAATAGAAGCAGTGTTTCTTACGCAGATTAAAATTATTTACAGAGCATCGTGGCTCTCCTTGTTTTCTCAATCGCGATAATAGTAGTCGTTTGTTCGCCGATTTCAATCTTCGGTCGCGGTAATCTAACTTAATACTTTCCAATCGAATTAATTATTTTTTCAATTTGACATTTAAACTCCTCGTTACCGGAATTAGAGTCGGTGCATCACCGAAGAGGATTATTTCGCGATGCTCCACGAGCAAACGATGCAAGTATAAATTTATACTTATATAAATATTTAATTAAAAATCTCTACAGTTTTGACGATAGATTCTAATTGTTTTCTTACAGTTTTCTTACAGTTTCTGAACGTGATCCTGGGAACCAGCAGCAGTACCCGGGGGGGTATCGGGCGGTGGACCACGAGCGAACAACGTAAGTATAAATTTATACTTAAAAATTTTTAATTATGAATCTCTATAATTTCAACAATGGATTATAATTGCTTTTTTATTCTTTATAGCAGGACCATGCAGGGGGCTTTGATGACTTCCACTGGGCAGCAGCAACATCATCATGCAGTCATCCCAGAGGTACAAGTTCATCATGAGTGAGTCGCATGCTATTTGTGTTCCTCTGGTCCCCAACCATGTTGTAGGATGAAAGATCCGAATCAACACGGGTGACCAGTTGTATACTTGGTATTTTTCACGAGTTAAGTGACCGTGGGTATGAAAAATACCCATGAATTATATTTTTTTAGTGCAGGCTAGGGTCTTCTTGCACTCGCGTTTTTTAATGTTACCAATAAATGTTACACAACTTGATACGAATTATACATATAATTGAGTAGAGTACGAATTAATATAATGCAAAAGCATTATATCGATCATATGATCCAGTAGAATATCTTACAACATTATTAAATATTATTAAATATTCGTTTTATCGATTAATACATCATATCATGTATTTTATGTGCAAGAAGGCGCGTTTCGCGACTGGTCGATTTTCAACTCAAACGGACATGCATGTTAATTTTATTTTTTAAAAAATTTACTTTGACGACAGAATCGACCAAGGTTAATTAAATACATTTAATAATAATTTAACAAATTTATTTCAATTTGCAAAGTAAATTATTTTATCACGAAATCTTTATCAAAATCTTACATTTTACACGATTAAATTTCAGTCAGAAATTTTTCTTGAATAATAATATCTTTCGATATTAACGTAGTCTGTTGTTGATATATGTATTACATAGAACAAGTCGAGTCATTTTTACTGAGAATAGATACCGTTTAGTCAATTATTAATAACCAGTTGTTCTAGCGAGGATTTTCAGGATACTTTTCCGTGTTCGTTGCCCAAGTTCGTGCACATGCCCAAGTGTTATTTGCACGAGCGAAGGCAACGGGCCACGATGACTTAGTTTCTAACATTTCTAATAATAATTGATCCGTGCGACTGACAATGCTGGTGTATCGTGCACGATGTACCGTCCACATATGTGTGTTTGTGGTTAGGATGTGGAAGGAAGTGCATCGTTTCAAAAGTTCATTACAATTCAGATACAGAATTTTCTAACATTAGATTCATAACAATCGTAATAATAATATCAAACTTATAGTTAGTATTTATGTACTTGGCAATTGTTCGTATTGCATACACGTCGATGATATTGTAAAATGCATAATGCATTTAGCTTTTCAATCTTATACGATCATATATAGAGTATATTTTAATAAAGATTATATCAGATATATTAAAATGTTTTACAAAAGTACGCAATGGTCACTAGCTTTGTCAGTCGATTCCAGAAATGGTACGTACATTTAGAGTACGAATGAGATTGTGTCCGGGTGTCGGAGGAACCCCGGGGAGTCCTCTCTAGTTTAGGTCGCGCCCGGACATTCCGAATGAGAACCGTGGAGTGTTTGTTTGAGAGACTGAGTTTTGCATTTTTTTAAATATAGGGTTAGGTAGGTAGGTAACTTATTCTCTGGTGTGTGTGTGTTTAAACGTAAGTAGGTAGGGTCAGGGCAGGACTGTCCACATTAGTTATAGATCGGGTAGGCGCGTTTTCGCGTGGCAGTTCTGTTCCTGTAGTTACGATTTCGAGAGTAGAGAAATCTTGCTGATTCAAACGGTGCTGCACTTGTGCTGTTTGTTTCGGCTTTATTTTCGACTCCTCGAATCGCGCGACTCTTAAAGTCGCTCTCTCGCTCTCGCGCTCGCGCTCGCGCTCGCGGTCGTGATCAGGTCCCTTTCGAAACGCTCGTCCCCCTCGAGATGACCCCACGTATGCTCTTGCAACGATTCGTATATTGTTGGAAGACTACGTATCGCACGAAATCTCGAGCCCGGTCTTTCGTAAGTTTCAGGCAGCATCGGCAGGACCGCCGAAGAAAGAAAAGGCTCTCGATGAGCCGAAGAGGCCCTGACAAACAGTTTCAAGAGTGGGCTACAACAAATGGCTTTTCATCTTCATCCTCGGATGAGAATGGAAAGTCATTCCTATTATTACTATTTTGTCACTTAACTCGTCCGTAGTTGTAGTTTGTTTATTTTTCTGTCTGGCTCGCGTATGCATGTACCTGTTGGTACATGATCGCGCACCATACATGCCAGCCATCCCTCCCCATAACTCGCGGTTATGATATACTTAGAGTTGCGAATATCCAATAATCGCGTTTGCTTGTAGAGTTGCGAATTCTTATTTTTCGCGTTTCCTTTTCAGGGTAGTGTTGCGAATAATTACCATTCGCGATTGTTTTTATTTCAAACATAGGCACTAAACGTTTGCTTTAAAAATAGCGTTGCGAATCAGTAATAAACGCGATTGCTCGTAGAGTTGCGAAATACTATTTTTCGCGTTTACTTTTCAGGGTAGTGTTGCGAACAATCACGATTCGCGTTGCTTTTTTACTCTTTTATACATATACATATACAATGGATGTCAACCGCGTTTGTAATTTTCATGTTATAAATTAGCGTTGCGATCTTGATCAATCGTGCGATTTTTTATTTAGCGTTGCGATATTTTCAATGCCCAAATTCTACCCCGATCGTAGTACTAGTAGTAGTTAGTTTATTTTGTGGCCAGTACATGTCTGCGTACATGTACCAATAGCCCCTGATTAAAGTTAGAGTTGCGAATAATTTTACAATGTTCGCGTTTGCTCGTAGAGTCGCGAACAAATATTTATCGCGTTGATATATCAGTGTTGCGAATAAATACGATTCGCGATTGTCTTTGTGCAAACCTAGGAACCGGGCGTTTGCTTTAAAAATAGCGTTGCGAATTTTTAGTAAACGCGATTGCTCGTAGAGTTGCGAATTACTATTTTTCGCGTTTGCTTTTCAGGGTAGCGTTGCGAATAATTACCATTCGCGGGTTGCTTTTATTCTTACGAGTCGCGTTTGGAATTTTTCCTATTATAAATTAGCGTTGCGATTGTTGATTTATCGCGTTGTTGCCCCGTAGTGTTGCGATATTTAAAACGTCTAACTTCATCCCCATATGTGCCACTCTATTGTAGTTCGAGAAGTAACTTGATGTAGTTAGTTTATTTTGTGCATGTATGTTTCAAGCTACAACCGAACACGCCAGCACCTGATCCAGCGTTTTTGGGCAACGCGATTTGCATTAGCGTTGCGAAACATAAATATATTTCCATCAAAGATAGAGTCGCGAATATACAATAATCGCGTTTGCTCGTAGAGTTGCGAATTCCTATTTTTCGCGTTTCTTTTACAGGGTAGCGTTGCGAATTCTATACGCGATTGCTTTTATCGTTATTTAAGAATAGCGTTGCGAACGTACCGATCGGTTTGTTCTTAGCGTTGCGAATTACTATTTTTCGCGTTTACTTTTCAGGGTAGCGTTGCGAATAATTACCATTCGCGGTTGCTTTTATCGTTAGAAATCGCGTTTGGAATTTTTCCTATTATAAATTAGCGTTGCGATCTTGATTTATCGCGATTTTATTAATCAGAGTTGCGATTCGATGCCCAAAATTTTACGCTGGCCACTTGTGAGCCTCAAGATCATCACGAAGAAAATCTGCTGTTCTACAAAGCCTCGGAAGGCTCAACGTTATTATCTAAATTAGCTGATTAAATGATTGAATATGGGTGCACGCGATTTAATTAATAAAGGAACCCTGTCTGTATAGTTCATTTTACGATAAACAAGCACCATTCGCGTATTAGTTTTTTATTTTATAAATTAGCGTTGCGAAAGAAAGACTGGTCCACTCACGGGTTGTTTGAATTTTTAGACGAGTGGACGTTTATTCCTTATATGAGTTTATTCTCAAAAGAAATACTGCTTTAAAGCACTGTTGCGAATAGACCAATTGTTTTATTCTTCGTAACGTGTTAAAATCTGTAATATATGGGAATGTATTTTCATCGCAGATTTCTGATGCATTTAAAAATTCTATATTATGATTAATTTTATTGTAGATTGAATTTATGATTGCTATATAGATATCTACATATATGTATCACTGATGATTATTCATTCTTAGAGTTGGTCATTTTTACGGGATATAATAACGTTTGCGATCCAATTGTTATTTATAAATAGCGAATTTTTTATAAATATTCTGTATTCTTTGCATAAATGAAAGTTTGTTCGCGATCATTGTTTTAATCGATGGAAAATAGAATGCTTGCATCAAAAGGGTATGCAAATTGCAATTGGATATTTCATATTGAGAAGTTAATTGCCGCGTAGAATCGACATTTTCGTTTGCTATTGCTTTTTCTCTATGAACCTCCTAATTTAGTTTCGAATACAGTGAAATATAATTATTGCAATGTATACGTCTTGAAAAATTGTTTATTTCATAAAGGAAACGAAAAATAAAATGTACGGTAACGAATGAATAAAATTTTCAATCTATTTCGTATTTATCTTAACACCGAGTCGAATTTTCATTCAATTCCACATAATATCACTTTTATAATTATTTTTTTCTGTGTTCATTAATACATTTTCATTTCAGCTATTAATCCTTTGAACAAGTTCTTGTTACAGAATATACATACATAATCATCGGAGAATGGAATTGGAAATGGTACACGGATTCCATCTTGATCGCTCTTACAGAAATATTTCATACAATTTTATTTATTGTCTGATTTATGTTTCAGGGAAACATCGTGGGATCGATCAAGACACTAAGAAGAAAATATCTTGTCATATTTCTTTGTTTCGTGTCGGTTATATGTATTTATTGTATATGAGTGTATGTTTTAGAAAAACATCGTGGGATCGACGAAGACACCAAAAAGAAAATATTTCCTCGTATTTCTTCATGTTTCTACAGATTGCGTTCGAATATAAGTACAAATGTATACGTATAGATTATAAGATAAAAAAGCGTTCTCCTTCCGTTTATTAAGTATTACCGACACGTGTGCGTAAATTTAAGCGGGAATGATTAATATTAAGATACATATTAGAATTGAAATATGCAAGGTGCCATACGTGCAGTTGCACATTTCTGGTTGGATCTTCGGAATCCTTTCTTCGTTTTGTACGAGAGTGTCTTGTTAGGCACTCTCATAATGCAAGTATTTATTTAAGAAGGAACAATTAGGAATAAAGTACACATTGATACGTTTGGTACGTCAGGATTCGTACGTGCAGTTGCACATTCCAATTTCGTTTTTAGAAAACATGTGCTGGTTTATCTCGCATGTATCATTTTGTTAGGTTTTTGATCTGTCGATCGGTCGGAGTTCGTGCATGCAGTTGCACATTTAAATTTCGTTTTTCGAAAACATGTGTATCGTCTCACGTGTAGGTATTGACATCTATTGTTAGGTTCTTCGTCTCTTGATCGGGCAGTTTTTTTTAAGAACGCTCCTTTTCTAGCTCGTTTCTAACTCTTCGATAGCTTCTCCATCGGATAGGTATTCGAATTCCTCGCCAAAGGAAGGGTGGTTGGGGCGAGGCTAGGGCGGGTCTCCATACGCAGCAACCTCCTCGCGGTGAGACCTGGGTCATATTATTTACTATGTAATTAATAATTATATTAATAAATAATATGAGCTAATGGCTGCGTTCTTCTTATAGTTCCACATACCTTGTTCGTCTGATAACACTGATTTCGAGTCGCAAATACGTTTGTTGCCGAGTTAGTTTTCAAATAAATAATATATTAGAATTTAAAATAAAAAATAGAGGATTTCCGGTGTATTTATCAATGAGATCCTTACGTATTTTAATAATTTTGAAATCTTTAAATAATCTCGATCGATTGGTTATTCCAATGAAATTAATCGATCGATGCCCAATTCTGGACCATACAGCTTTCATTCCGTTAAAAAATAATAAAATTTATGTAATTTTATTTTCCGTCTCACTTCCTCTTGTGTTAATTTCGAAATCTGTCGATAACGTTGCGAGTGACAGGAAAATGGTAATGGGGGGTCCCGGGAGGCCAGAAACTCACTCGGGCCGAAAAATTCCATTAGGTGAAAGGTCTATTCGTATACCTCGTCTGTGGTTATATTGCCATCCGACTGATCCGACTGATCCGACTGATCCGACATCCGTAAACGACACCATAACAGATGGCAGGCTACTCGAGAAATTTTAGAGGGAATATTGGTCGTCACGTTTAAACAATTCTAACAAAAATTAACATCCACATTAATATTTATATATTTTTATTTTCTTTATTAAATCAAGGTAGTACATATTGGTATTGTAATATGCAGAGTTCGTACGTGCAGTTGCACATTTAAATTTTGTTTCTAGAAAACATGTGTATCGTCTCACATGTAGGTATTGACATCTATTGTTAGGTTTTTCGTCTCTTGATCGGGCAGTTGTTTTAAGAACTCGACCTTTGTAGCTAGCTCATTTCGAACTTTTTCGATAGCTTCTCGAAAAAGGTTGGGGCGGATCAGGTTACGCAGCAACCTCCACACGCGGAGGTGAGACCTGGGTCATATTAGTAATATGAGCTAATGGCTACGATCCGCGTTTCATAGGTTATCATAAATCTAGAACTTGTTCGCTAGATTAGTTTCGATTGGCATAGCCGGTAGCGCTCCAGTCTTTTTCCATTCTACTCTAGATATCACTCTAGATCAGTTGAGATTCATGGACGAGAGCTAGTTGCTAACTCCGTAGTTCCGTATTCGAGCATTTTTTCGAATTTATAACCTCCGTGGTTACCTACCGCATACTACCAGTGTTTATTTGAAATTATTTAATCATGGCAAATAGAGGTTTTCGAATGTTTGCCAAAGATTTTCTACCGTCTATGAAAATTCGTATAGAACAAATTCGAAATGGACATCATATACGAGGAAAACCGCCAACGATTGCTCGTACCTTGAAGCAGCGACTCGAATGTAAGCAAAGACGAATGTTTTCTAGATCGGTGGAATTCTAATAGCATTTCTTTCAGCCCTGAACGAGACAGATCCGACGGTATCGTTTCAAGTAAATATAGGTTTTGCCGTGCCAAAGCCTTCGAAGAAAGTGACTGATAGTTGGTACACGGAAAGGAAGGCTAGAAAATCAGATCCTGAAATGGAGAAACAAGCGAGGAATAGATCGTGTATGTAACAAATTTACCACCGTAATATGGTATGCCTGCAACAACGTTAAAACGATATTTGTTATTCTCGATCCTTCTAGTATCTGTCGATTTAAACCGAGTAAAAGAAATTTGGTTAAAAACGTATAGCATGTTTCATAATCGTAAAATCGCTAAACATTATGGGGTCTTTAAAGATTTATTCGGTGATGCGTATTTTTCACCCGTCGTACCATTAGAAATCAACTACCGAGTAAAAGAGGACGTATTAGCTAGCGTATATACAGGAAATGTTATAAAACCTAACGAAGCCAGCAAGTCCCCGATCGTTAAATACGATGCACGATCCGACAGTTTATGGACTCTGGTAATGAGCACACCGGATGGCAACATGCAAAATTCAAATAACGAATATTGCCATTGGTTTCTGTGAGTAGGTGTAATCGTTATCGTTGCTCGACTCGCGTTTGCGATCCATCGGAATTAACACAGCATAGCGATACTTTTTATTTTAGCGGAAATATTCCAGAGAACAAGCTGGAACGGGCCGATGAAATAATAGACTATTTAAGACCAATTCCGCCTAGGGGCGTTGGTTATTATCGCTATATATTTGTGCTTTATAAGCAAAACGAGCGTCTAGATTACACGGAATATAAAAAAACCCAACCCTGGTAATTTAACAACCGCTACCGTCTTTAAACGTTTAAGCGTATCTACTTTTATAACTTTTCTTTTACATTGTGTATATAAATTGTAGTTTACGATTAGACGACCGCGATTGGAACACATTGGAATTTTACCGTAAATATCAAGACCGCCTTACTCCGGCTGGTTTAGCATTTTATCAGAGCGACTGGGATCCTACGGTGACACAGTTTTATCACTCGATGTTAGGTACACTCACACACACATACATATATATAATTATCATGGTAGTTTTTAATTTGGAATTTATCGATGCTCGAGGAATGTTATAAATTTGTAACGTTGCTTTTGCAGAGACAAAGGAACCAATATTTCAGTACGATTTTCCAAAACCATACGTGAAACCACAGACATGGTTTCCCTTGAAAGAAGCATTTAATCTTTATTTGGATAGGTACAGAGATCCGAAGGAGATAGCGAAAGAATTTCTATTAAAAAAGTTAAAAAACGTTCATCCTTTTAAAGAAGCAAAACCAGCACTGAAATATCCGAATGCATGTGCTTTCGGGAAGGATGTACCATCTTGGCTAAGATTGGAACTGAAGAAAGAACGCATGGGATGGGGTCGAGTTAACGATATAAAATAAAGTGGTAAGCCAGCATTGAATTGTAAATTTTTGTTAGACGCAAAAAAAGCAGAGGGGCATCATTCCAGTTGCAAATAGGTTTCTACCGCACGTCTGCTTCTTAACTTGATCTCGGCTCGCGTTGGTATCGACGAATCGATAACTTCATGCTCGACAAATAGACCTAACAAAAATGCATGTCAATTTATTATCAACGCATAATTGTTATCGATACTCGTCTTACCTGTTGGTTCTAATTTTAAATCGTCGTACTTTAATCTTGAATGGTAGTCGGAGACGTAAGTTTGATATAAATCCTTTGCTCTTTGTTCTCTATCCTTGTCAAATTCAAAGTTACTCATTCCAAACAATGCTCCTACTTTTCGACTTACGGTCGATAATAATGTCAAACCTACATACAGACGTATCATACGAAAGTGTAACACGTTATCCGAGTTTTAAAGACGACATTTACCACCGATTTTCAACATTGACGCAAAAAGATGGTTTGGGAAACACTGTTTGATACGATTCATTATCGATATTTACCTTCCGTTTCCATTTTGTCTATTATCGGTAAGGGAATTTCGTCCATTTCGTCCATTTCGTCCGTATCATCCTTCTCTTCTTTCGTCAATCTTTTATGGCTTTGCTTTCTCGGTGTTTTACCAACCCCCCCTCCCCTTCTCACGCAAACCAACATGGCTACCATAGTTTGCAACGCGGCTCTTATGTCCATTAATAATTCACCATGAACTTTCCTCCATTTTTTCTGCTCGAATTCACGTTCTTTTTGGATCGCGATTTGTTCCAATAAAATGCTCTTGTCTGCGTTATGTCTACATATAGAGAAGTTGATGGAATTTTGTTCGTCGGTGTAACGTTATTCGTATTTTATAGATCATCATAAGCATAGAGATAAAATGAAAACGGTTAGTAAGATAAAGATTAATTAAAAGTCGAGCAATTTTCTTATCGAATAAAAGTAACGAATAAAAATGTTTGATTCGTTCGTAAACATGTATCTGTTTACGTTTCATTGGTAAATTATAATGTATAATATTAGCAATCGTGCAGGACATGGAACGTGAAAACGTGAAAACGTGAAAACGTGAAAACGTGTAGCGGCGTTACTTACTCTTCTGCATTGGCTATAAGAGAGTGTTCTACTTCCGAGAGAGTGGATAAAGCATCGTTTTTCTGGCTCAACAACGAATCGCGTTCTTTTACGTTACGATCGAATTGCTCGAGCAACCGTGTTCTTTGCTTAGTTTGGTCCTCCAGTCTGATCGAAGCAAGCGAAAACGAAGAAAGTTAGGCGGGGCAACGGTTTCAAGAAGTTTCTCCAGTTCCTCGGTAAAAAGAAAAAAAACTGCTTATTCGAATTTGTTGAGGCGTGTTTTTTTGCGCTGTCTTGGATTATATTGAATCGTTTTAATAGAAAAGTTTGAACAACTACGAAAGAAAGAAAGCAAGCAAGCAAGCAAGCACAGTGGACGGGACGGATCGATGGAACAGGGATCGTCCATTGACACATTAGATCGAAATGCATCTTGTTTGTCCGTTTGTTCGTGCGTGGAGGAAAAAAGAAAATGCAGTGCTTGAAAACGAATGACAATACCTTGAAAGCAACTCTCGATAGGAACGTACAAGTAGCGATTCTTTAACTTTATCGAATATATCTTCCAAGGATTTTATTTGTTTTTCGATGGTAAGGTTCGATGCGGTCGCAGCGCGTGTAATTTCCACGGTGAACATCGTTTCGCTCTGTGATACAGAATAAGGTTTAGTCGAATAGTTAAATTGGCACAGTTGTACCACGTAGTAAGTAGATATTTGGGTGTAGGTTGCATACCGTAGTTAGCCGCAACTTACTTCGGTTCGAATCAACGATTGTGCAAACGACCATAGATCTTGGACCTGACCGCGAACAAATGCCAACGCGTGTTCTCTCTCCTTCATGTTGTCCCAGACTTTTTCAGTAATTCGTTTACGCTTGTCACCAATGTCATCCGACTCTTCGGTCGCGAGTTGACCGATTATTGTTGTTTTATATATTATTTCGCTTTGAGATTGTTGATCTTGTTTTAACGCGTTCAATAAGGCTTCATGATGCACCGCGTCCTGCGCAGACATTTAAAATTTGATGAAAAGGGGAATGGTAGTAATCGGGCGGTTGATACGAGTGCAAATGATGAAACACGTTTGTGCACGAATAAAAAATAATTTGTGCAAGTTAATGTAATATACATATACATTGTATATGTACAATCGCATAATCGCTTATCGAGAATAGGATTCGATCGATCGCTACTTTTATTTTCGTATCGGTGAATATTTAATTTGTTTAATCGTGACTGGCACCTTTTTTAAAATTCCGAGCATAGAAGCGTACGTAATGTTTATAGCCTTGGCTGCATTCTGCTTAGCTATGGATCGCTGATAACGCGTCACCAGTTGCTGTTGCGTTTGCTCTTGAGCCCATGGTTCCTCTTGTTCTTGCGCATAGTCGTTTAACAGTTCTGCATGCTGTAACTAGAAAGAAACGTTCGCACGCACGCACGCATGCACGCACGCACGCACGCACGCACGCACGCACGCACGCACGCGATCCACCATACATACACATATGTATATATAAAATAAAACGTACCTGCAGTTGGAAAGATCGTTTAATTTTTCTTTTTTTTTCGTAACGAAGCTTATCTAATTGACGACGTTTTCGATGATTCTCCTCGTAGATAGAGTCGTAAATATACTGCGATCGGTATACGTAGAATATGTGTAGTGTTTGAAATGTTCACACAAGTTGTTGCGTACTTACCTCTGTTTTTCGCCCCTTACACTTCAACTGTAAATCTTTTCGATCATGCAACAAATTATACGTACGAGATTTCGCGATTCCGTTCACCGTCTCGCTTACAATTCGACGATATTTCCTCACATCCTCTCGAAACGAACCCAATTGCAACGATATTCTCTTGTTCGTTTTTACAGCATGTTGAGATTTTAGCTTTTTTTCACGCTCTATACACGTTTTCGGAGTAAATAAGTTTGGACATGTCCGATCGTTGTTCGATCGTTTTGCCACGAGTAACAGAATATTTTGTCTAGGTGTTTGTTGGATGTTGCAACAGGCGGACAGGCGGGCGGACGGACGGACGGACGGACGGACAGAAACATTTACATGTACAAATCATGATCGTAAAAATCTAAAAAGTCTATCAGAATTTGATCGAGTGCTTTTAACGTTCCTTTCTTTAAATATTGGCTTCTTTCCGTTTTTACCGATCGAATACCGATCGAAAAGCGAACGATAATCGAATCGTTGTTAGATGTGATATACATATGTATTCTCGAACCATATAGCTTTAGGATTCCTCGATATTGATCCAATTTGTCTTTCGTTGTCCACCTTCCGTCCTTGATTCCACGATACATCTCGGCTCGTTTGCTGGAAAACATTTCGCAAGCCTAACTCTCGCTACGGATTTCTTTCTATGGGCGCTTTACTACTTGTTGCATGCGTGCGTGTGTGTCTCTCACCGTCCACGATAACCGAATAATATTATCTGAAAATAAGAGACTATCTTTTCAGGTAGAATCCAGAGGAGAGCATTTGTCAATAATTTGTAATTTTAGAGAATAACGGAACTTTATTTTACACGTATAGTCGAACAAGTTGGAAAGGAGTAGGAGGTTGTCTCGTTGCCGAGAAGAACACGATGGGGTCCAGTCTCTTCTCCTAGCGGCTCAGTTTCCTCCTTCTTTCCACGACGATGGAATTTTTCTACTATTTCTGTTCGAATCCAACATCTTGTTCCGTTTCGTTGTATACAATATATCAATAAACTAAACGTTGGAAACTGTAAATGTTTGAATTAAATATTGTTGGTAATGTCTACTCTTTATCGATAAGACGCGTATAAGGTTCTTGCTATCCTTTGATAGCGTTACTTGTCTTAAGCTGTTGTACGATGCTACTTACCTGGTCTCGATCAGATCATTCCCTCGAGGGGAATCTTGTGCATATATCTATGCTATGTATATTGGTACATGTATCGGATATAAGGTAAAAAAATTGCGAAAATCGATATGCTTTCAAAGATTAAAATTAGGTATCGTACAATTTGTATCGCGTTTATTTATCGCACATGCATATGGTATAGGTATCTCCTCTCTACCCGTCACTTTCTCGTCCTTGCTCGTTCGATTCTGTTTTACTCGACCGACGATCGTCGATTGTCTCGTTAACGTCGCTATTGCGACAGAATAACAACGGCGACGACAACGACAACGACAACGACAACGACGTTCTCGGACAATACGAGATTTCTATCATCGTTAGGTACTGAAAAAGGTTAACTCGACGAATCTAACACGTCGAATGGAAATCTTTCGAGTTTGTTTTAATCGCGATAATCAGAGAGGCCGATTGATATGTATAGTATGTATCGTTTATTTAATAAACAAACAAACAAACAAACAAACAATCGATATTTAAACGTGTACGATATACGGAAAGATAATAGACAACGGTTTGAATTATTTTCGGATCGTTAGGCAAGTTGTGATTATTACGATTTCTTATATGCGTGTTTGTACGGTTTATCGATTGTGCGTTTGTTCGCGGTTGTTAATTGTAACGTATGTACATACTACTCGTTGGTAGTCGAAACGTTATCTCGTATGGTTTAAACGTCTTTGTACGATCTGCAAGGGGGAGGTGGTGCGCTCCATATGCCATTTTCTCGGCACGTTGGTTTCCGTACAGGCTCCAAAGGTGTTACGTATCCAGGCGAGCAGGTTACCTGCTCAACGATCGTATCGCGTACGTAGAGTAAGTTTCGTTAAAAAGGATAAAATTTTATCGAATCGAGTTTTTCTTACCTGTATATTATCGCCAGGTTTGTACCAGAACTTGAGGGGTGCGATTCGTCCATGAGGTGGATCGCCCGGATAAGAGCATCTCACTTTGCCTAGAAACCGAATCGAATCGAATCGAATCGAATCGAATCGAATCGATCTGATCTGATCTACTTACAGACTGGCGACGAGTGAGACCACGTTCCATTTTCGGTGCATATTATCGAGGCCTCGCCCAACAGTTGGTGTCCCGGCAAGCAAGCGAATCTTACGAGGGCACCGGCCTTGTGCACGCGACTCCGACGATGTTGTTTCCTTCCCGAGGATCCATGGCGATGCGTTTGTTCGACGATCCGTCCACTCTTTGGTATCGAGGGTGCCGGGCAGGTAATTTCTGCGTGGAACGATCTTTGGTTATCAGAGTGGTGTCTGTGTTGATTTTCAATAAAATATCCACCCGTACGATACTTACCCGTGCAACTGGGCATATCTCCGCTCCACGAACCATCCCCTTTGCATTCTATGCTCTGCAGTCCCGATAGCTTATGGCCCCACATACAAGCAAACACAGCTCTACCGCCAAAGGTATTATTGTACTCGAGAAGTTGTAACCACGTGTCGGTGAACGTGTTCATAGACGGACATTCGATAGTCTCGCAACGTGGCATATCACCGGACCATTTACCTGCACAAACTAACCAACGTTAATAACTTTGGACCATAGTTGCCTTCCAAACACCGATTACTCGTCTTTTCCTCCTACGATCAACATGTATCGATTAAAAGAGAATTTTCGCAAAGTGTTTACCATTGTATTGGCAGGTTATACCAGCGGCACCTTCCAGTCTGTAACCAACAGGACATTCGAATACTGCTCCGTGACCCATTCGTGCTCCTTGGATCTTTCCGATCAGCGGCGGTTCGGGAAGGCTCAGAACCGGGCACTGAACATCTGTAACGCGTAACCAAGTAAATCTGTAAAACCTCCTGCTTTTCCTTACTCGAATTCATTTCATTTCACCGACCGTTTCACCGACCGTTTCACCGACCGTTTCACCGACCGTTTCACCGACCGTTTCACCTGATTTTCTCAATAGCAACGGTTCAACGACAACTTACCCACGACGATAACACGGATCGAGTTTGATAGACCGCGGGGTGTCGAGCACGTGTAGACACCGGAATCTTGAGTTTTCGCATAATATATCGATAGTCGATACTTCCAGTCTCTTTCGCGAGCGGCGATCGCCCAACCTGTTTTTATTTAACAATTTTTTCGATAATGTTTCCTAGTTTAAAACGTAATTCGCTCGGCGATCGCTTACCGGTTAAATATTGACGAAACGTCGATGTCCAAGTCCACTCCGGATTACCAAGTTTTCTATCAAAAAGACACTCTAAATGAAGAATGCTTCCGGGAAAGACTGCAAGGGCACCCGACGGTTCAACGGCAGCCGAACCTGCCGGTAATCCGAACACGATCGTAGGCGGTACGTCTTCTGTTTCTCCTCGAACAATCATCGGAGGAGAATCACTATACGAACATTCGTCTTGTCTCCGTTGAGAAAACCGTTTAACATTATCGAGAAATTCACCGAATGCATATCGAATTCTATCACATATTGTTAAAATTCATTTTTCGATCCGGTAAAAATGATCCTTATGCGTATACACACGTAAGTACCTAGGTACACGTATTAAATGCAAACAAACGTAACGTTTACGTAGATGAAACGTGACGGAAAGATCGAGAGTATCGGATCGCTTATATGTAGATATCGCTTACCGGTATAATTTGAAATTGCCGTTGTCGGAGTGCAGTAAGGTAGTTTTCCAACCCAGCTTGCGTTACGGCAATGCAACAAGGAATCGCCGATAAGCTTGTATTTCCCGATTTCCCTGCATCTTATCGTCACCCGTTCTCCATGCGATACCGTAATTTTATCTACCTAGTACAAAACAGCCAACTCTACTCTCTATTCGTTTCAAAGAACCGTTTATACGAAAATTAAACCTTTCACGGTTTACAGAAATATCTTACTCGAACATGAATTAATTTCTTTCCAATCCCAACTATTTCCAACCAATTAAGCGATTTATACTTACGGATATCGCGATATTTTTGTACGTAACGATCAAAAGTGGGTGCAGACCTTCGAGTTTGCAACCTCGTTGGAATCCGTCAACATCTGCAAGTAAATTATTACAGTACGCGATAAGAATCGCGTATCGACTACGACCTATCTATATGTATGTACATGTAGAAACTTTTAAGCGGGTTCCTAATTTATCTAAAGAAACTGAAACCATAACCATAAATCCAAGCATATCTTGTAAGTACGCGTGGCGTCGGAATATTATCATTTTACTAATTTTACACATTACGCGTGCGTGCGTAACGCGTCCTTTAATTTATCGAGCGCGTTTCATTATCGAAACACGAATCACGAATCACGTATTCGTAAAATCTTACGTCTGCTGCTTTCTATTTATGTGGCTAAATACATAAAGTATATCGATGCGCATGCTCGTCGGCATGGTTTCGCCAAATGATCGATACCATCTAACTGTTCCGAAGATTGCGAAGAACGCGCCTCCTTATCGATCCGTTTTCCCATGCTGCGACAAACATCTACCTACATGGTACTTCGGTGACAACCCGATTATCGAATCAACCTTCCCAACAGAAATTTATCATCGCACAAATAGATTCTGTTTCTTCTTTGATCGAACATAAATCTCCATGCGTTCGTACGCAAGTATATTTGCGTTACAGTACCGGTACAAACTTGAAATCTTTAACGGCGAAACGTCGCTAGTATACAGTATTATGTATATGTATATGTATATGTATATGTATATGTATATGTATATGTATATGTATATGTATATTACGGGGATAACGTGTCCTGGATCTCGTTTCAATCGCTTTACGCGTTGTGTTTAATTACACGCGTGCGTTCGCGCGTGTCTCGTTCGACGCGCGTTATTACACAGAGAAATAAAGGAATCCCGCGTTGCGCAAAATACTTGGTTAATGCCATCGTTAAGCAAGGATAAATAAATAAATCATGTACATATTCGCGACACACATTGGCCGCACTCTACACGCACCTGCCTGTTGTTGTTGTTGTTGTTGTTGTTGTTGTTGTTGTTGTTGTTGTTGTTTTGCATCGCAAAATCCAGCCGTAGTTAGAACGAGTAAGAAAAGAAAACGTCTCGTTGTTAGCAGAGTCGCGCGACGGTATGCATCCTCAAACAATTTCCAATTCTTTCTTCTTTCCGTCTCGATGAACATACTGTCCGCCTTTGCATATCAGAACGAAATCCTATTCGGATTACGGCACCGAAACCCTGTTTTCACGCGAATACCGTATCGAAAATCGAACCAACTTTCGTACGTCGGACAATTATTCGCCTTCACTTTTCCCATTTCGTTTCACAGGCACAGCAATTTGCGCAATTTGCGCCAACTGGACCGCCAACGACTCGTAAGCACTGCAACACGAAGAAAGAAATGAATCGGGTCATCCGATCGACTGAAGCTCGGTCGACCGACGAAACGAACGTGCGTGCGTTTGGAAAATCGACGAACCGACCAAGAAGAACGGACGTACGACCGACCAACAACGATTAGCGGCACGGAAAACGTTACCGCTAACTTCATCGCTAACGTTCGTAAACGGCACGTATGTATGTAACATACCACCACCCACCGCACAACTATGGAGAGAGTTATTACAAGGTAGATATACATGTATACATATATACATTTTCTGGTTGTTTTCAAACGCGCAGGCGTCTAGTCTCTATCACCACGTTCCCTTATTCCGAACAATTTTTAACCAAACTGTCGTCCAACGATGCTTTTACTCGTTCAAACTTCAATCTTTTTTCTTTCTTACAGGAAATTATCACTCGGTCCCGACTATCTTCTCTCTCTCTCTCTCTCTCTCTCTCTCTCTCTCTGTTATTTTCCTTCCTGAAAAGAAATTCAACGTTACCAAGGATCGGATCGTATCGTATCATCATAACCGGATACGTCGCTACCCGTCTATTTCTCGACACGACTGTAGCGATCGTCGGATCGTGTAAAATTACTTTCACTCCATGTATTATCACAGCCTAACGATCTAAAATTCTAAACTAGTCCCACCGTCTAAACAGAGGCCGGCCGGCTGGCATCGCTGTTGCAACAAATAATAGATTACCAACTTAAATTCTTATTTAATTACACTATACTATATGTATACACCAATTTCGCTTAAATCTCTTATCCATATAGAATCCATTTTAGTGGAAAATCTAAAAGTAAATAATACAGCAGTTAGTGTTTGAATGTCGTTCCTAACTTAACACTATCGATACGGTAAAGTGTCGCAGCTACATTCATGGATGTGCAACTAAGAGACGGACGTATTTTGCACTTTGAATCGGAACTGAAAGTACTTAAGTACTTATACTCGAGTTTATATTCTAGAATACATATAACGCGACAAGAGTAATTTCTTAAATTAAATTCAAATTTCTCAAGTGAAATTCATCGAGATATTTCTTATATCTAGGTATGGTATAGTTATTTTCATTTCTGAATTGATTGTAAATTTCAACAATCTGGAAAAACATGTTTGGTGAAAAATTTGAAAAGACAATAACATTTACTCGCGTTAAACCACCGAACTGAGCGCCATAAATGAGAAGCGTCGGCAGCTAGTCATTTAACTCTTGTACGACAAGAATCGTTTCTTACCAGATTTAGATCGATCTACATTCTGCTGGCTTTGTTTAAATTCTTATTGTTAATGGTGCAGTAATCTTATTACACTTGAAATCGATAACGTTGGATGCGATTTCGAAATAGTGACATGATTTCTTACATTTTAGGGGAAATTAACTAGCTAGGGATCACCTTTTCTCCTTGTGAAACTATTGGTGCACGCATTGCGCAACCTAGCGACTTTAATCTTCTGTCCATATTTTACCGTCCGTTACACTATACTCTTTAATATATTTTAATGTACGTCGAATGATTTATTCTACTTTAAAATATCGTATGCTATTGCAGTCAGCGATATTTTCCGCACCTATCAACAGTGTGGTGTTCTAATCGGCAATTTGTCGAGGAAAATGGTATAGTCCCTATCTAGTTAATTTCCCCTAAAATCAGAAGAATCATTTTGCTCCATAGTAAATACATACCTATGTAAGTACCTATATACACAGTACGATTTAGAAATTTCGTGTCGCACGACATTCTTCTATTGAATGCTAGGTTTACTTTGTACATACGACCTTCGCGATTCAACGAAACAAGTTTAAGTGCATTACCTGTTTCCGTCTATTTTCCCTAAATCGCTCTAAATAGTGAACACGCTGACACGCATCGTTCCGGTAAACAAACCAGAGAATGATCGAAATTTTTTCGACTAGTTTCATAGGCCGTAATAACAAACTTTGCCTTTGCTTTATTTCACACGGTAATTAAACCGAGTCATAAACAGTGTTATTAAAATCCAATTACTTTGTAGAAATAGTCGTAGGAAATGTAATCAGATTACATTTTGCCTGACATTAGTCCGAAATAAATGTCCGATTCTTTTTCTCATATAAATAACACCGATTACTTGAATTTCCACCTCACATATTCTCAAATGTTGAATATCATGTTGAACAGTAGAGACTATCATCGATGATTCTTTTTAATGTTTCGAAGCAAGAAACATCGATTCTCGTTCATGATACATAATGCAACATATAATATGTACGTAATAGGATAGAGTAGACGTAGTGCATACGGCATACGGCATACGGCATACGGCATACGGTAATTACGGTATACTGCATACCCACAACTTCGCACCACTAGGATATTAGAAAATTTTGTGCTGCCCTCGTACGGCATCGATGTACGATGTACGCCATACGCTGACGTTCGAGCCAGGAGGTCATTGAAAATTTCTTGCTTCGGTCGGACCAATTCGAATATGGTAGATTGCCATTGGCAGGTAGTAGTTTTGCAGTTTCGCATTTGTCGAGACTGCAAAAGTTTTCACGATGGCGAATGAACGATACGAGTGTTAACACGTTTTATCGAATAAATGTGTGCATGGTGCAAGTAAGAAAATCGGAGCGATCCAAGTTGCTTCGAGGTGATCTTTAACGGGTAAGCGAAACAATTTTAATTTCGTTTGAACCGTGTTTGCTGATTCCTGATTCGTGGCCCGCTCGAAGCTGCTACATAGAATACGTAAACTTCGAAAGTAGAACGGACAATTAAATCTCGGTGGAAACGCAGAAACGCGAATGTGAACGCATCGTTGAATTTTTACTGCTCGTTATTGCCAGATATACGACCAGTACACATCATTCGATAAATCTATTAAAAAATCTTTAACGTTCTTTTGTTACAACGATGCTACACCGTCTTGATGATTGCTGTTAAAGCAACGATGACGAATTCGATGGTTCTGAGAACGAGACCGATGTCCACTTTAACTTTACCATCCTTTTTCGAATAATTCTTATTCGACGATTTATTGCTTTCCCGGCAGTCGTTATTAATATCGTCGATGATATGTCAACATTACGTGCGTTGATCGGACATACGCGCCTCAGAAAATTTTATCGTACGTCGTCGTTCTCTACGTTTCGAAATGATAATATATGAAAAACGTTGGATTACTTTTTTCGTTTGGAAATTTCGAAATTTGGTTCACAAAGGAAGGAAGGATAGAAAAACATTACACGTTTCTTCGAACTAGAACGTTGCTGTTTAAATCGTTATATGCATTTAGTGTGAAAAGTTCTTTGTTCTCTGGTATATCGATCATTGCGGTACATAGATTTGATTCGACTCGTTTAGAAAAGTTTGTGTACAACTGATATTAAAAGTTTAGTAAAATAGCAATAATTTTGTCCTTTAGATTCGATCTGATCAAACAACAGCAAAGGAAATGGATGGAACAAGAGCAGCTGAGGTTTTGCCTTTACTTCAAGAACGTTTGGCCATACTACCGGGTGGTCGAGATCGTAGGGGCGGTCCGGTTCTTGTTTTTCCTACCACACCCAGGCGCGAACGTGCAAAACCCGACGACTATCGTCGTCTTTTACAATATCTGTTGACGGTACCTACCGACGAAGCCAGAGGATTGCGGTTCACTGTGATCGTGGACATGCGTGGTGCTACTTGGGACTCCGTTAAGCCCATTTTGAAGGTTGTACCTCAATAATGGTCGACGATCGTTACTTAAAAATCTTTCTATATTACTAGAATTTTTAAAAATATGTCTTTAATACGATGAAATGTGTAAAAACGATAACATATTATCATTAGCAACGACCGACTACCAAGCAACAAATTATAAGGCAACGATTAGTTAAAGGTTGTAATATCGGTAATCGAAATATCTCTGTTGAAGGTGTTGCACGAACATTTTCATCGTTCCGTTCATATCGCGTTTATCATCAAACCTGAGAATTTCTGGCAAAAACAACGAACGACTCTGGCTAAGCAAAAGAAGTATAATTTTGAGGTAAAGAAGAATAGCGTCGTAAAGAAAAAGAAAGTTTGTTTGTACGTTAAAGACGAGGTAACGCGAGTTTCTTCATTTTAGATAAACACTATAAGTTTGGAGGCTTTGACAAAAGTAATCGATCCGTCACAGTTGACACCAGACTTGGATGGATCTCTGCAGTACGACCATGCTCAGTGGATCGATACCAGACTCGCAGTAGAAGATTTTACATGGCAGGCGGCTGATCTTCTTGACAGATTGGACGATTTGCAAGAGGATCTGAGTCGCAATGATTTCGCAGACGATGTGACCGGAGCGAAACACGGAATCGATTTACACAATGAAATGAAGAAAAAAATTATGAAAGTACCGGTAGAAGAGATCGAAGTTGTTGGTCAGAGACTGCTACAACGTTTCGATAATAGTAAGAATCGTATCTCCGTTTCTTAGATTCGATTCGGTTAATAAATCGAAAGGGGGTAATCGAAATAATCGACATAAATTATTGTTTATTCCGTGATATTGTTGTTATTGTTGTTGTTGTTGTTGTTGTTGTTGTTAGGTATCGCCGCAACCAGTGGCGAAGGAGGTAGCATCGAGAGTGGGGCGACTGGCGGTGCTGATCCGGATGGACGAGCACTGGCAACTTTAGTGATTCAGCACTTGGATTCGGTACACGCCGCGCAACAACACCTCCTACAGTTGTGGCATATTAAGAAAATTAAACTGGATCAGTGTTTTCAACTAAGACTGTTTGAGCAAGATTGTGAAAAAATGTTTGATTGGATTTGCCACAACAGGGAAGGATTTTTGGCAAATTACGTCGAGATTGGTCGATCTTATCAATTGGCCAAAAATTTGCAGGAAGAGCATAAACATTTTACCATGAGTTCCATGAATGTTTACGTGAACATTAATAAGATTCTAACAATGGCCAGCCGTTTGCTCGAAACGCAGCATTACGCGGCTGGACACGTAAGGGCTGTAGCCGGTCGATTGGATCGGGCTTGGAAAGAGTTTGCGGCTGGACTCGATGAACGTACCGCGGTCCTTAGTTTGAGCGTTGTTTTTCATCACAAAGCCGAACAGTACGTCGATAGCGTCGCGGGATGGAGTCAAGCTTGCGACGCTGGTAACTTACCTAACGAAATACCGATTTTGGAATCTCACATACGTCAGCATCAAACTCTTTACGAGGCTATGTGTCAAGCTTATACAGAGGTAATTTTTACTTTTTATAGCCTGGTGATTATTATCGCCCTTTTTCAATCGTTCGTTCAACCTTTGGTTTACGACAGTAGTATCTACGATATACATACATATGTACCTACTTGGTTCGCACATGCCAGCGCGCGTGCACGTACACACACGCGCGCACACACACACACACACACACACACACACACAAAAGAAGGGACAATTTGCCTATTGGAAAAGAAAAATCTTTACTTTTTCATCATAGTTGAAATATTTACAAAATAAATTTCTTTACTAGCCTTGTAGAATATAGTATACATATACATATAGGATGTAGGATATATCTGGAGTGATTTAGATTTGTTTCAACTAAACGTGTTATTACAATTCACGCGATATAATAATGCACGTAAGTACGTGTTCCGTTACCGAGAAGGTACATTTGATAAAAGATAATGATATTTGGCAGGTATATGACGCGTATCAAGCACTTTTGAGCGGACTAGGCTCGATGCTGCAAGTTTGTCACAGTTTGAGTTCGACGCACGGTCCGAGCTTGGATACGTTTCGCAACGATTATGTACGAAACAATTAGTAACTGTATTTTTTTTTTTATAGCTTGTAACCGGTGGACATGCGCTTGGTATGCGGGTGTGATAAACAGAATGTCGCAAAAATATAAGGGGGTTAGGTGGTAAGAATTAACTTTTCGATTAAAGGAAATTTACGGGTGTTGTATTCTACTCAATAATTCGTGGCAACCTTGAAAGTTCGATAAAATTCGTTCTCTCGTCTGCGTAGATTCGCGTATTCGACGATATCGAATCAAACGATTTAAACATTTACCGTAGAAAATGTTAAATATGGTTTTGGGCAATCCTATTGTTTAGGTGCATAGTACCAGTAAGAAGCTTCTTTACCAACTGGATCATCTCGTGCAAGTCTGTAACCAACCGCAAGGGATAGACCATACAACCAGAAAACATGTACGTCCCATTGGTGTGCATGAGTGTACATGTATATATATTTGGAAACGATCTTTGTCTCTTGGTCGTTTAGTTTGTCCACTTACGAATAATCGATCGTCTGTACGCTTTGTTAGAATAGGAATGGCTTTTGCATGCTTGTTCGACCGCCTCGTTCGAATTCGGTGACGATTCGGTGACGATTCGGTGACGATTCGGTGACGATTCGGTGACGATTCGGTGACGATTCGGTGACGATTCGGTGACTCGCTGGGCGCGTGCATTCTTCTTGATCTAATATTTCATTGCTTTGGAATGCAGTTTTGCGACTCGATGAAATATTTCAGTTTCTATCGACGGGTTTGAACGGTGAAATGATTCGTAACGCGTATTACCGGCGTGATCACCGCGATAATGCATGGTAACGCGCGTAGATGCGTAGACAGTTGTTTGATTCGATTTATGAGAGAAAAGTTGAACCGTTGAATCGATAACGACGACCGATTTCTTTAGAGCCAAGATGGTCACAACATCGATGGTCATTCAGGTATGAGTGGGAATCCAGCCGCGGATTATAGCGAGGGCGCGTCGCATGTGTTGGCAGTGATCCATCAAATCTTGGGTCATCACAGAGCATTAGAAGCTCGTTGGCATGCCCGAAAAGTGAAACTACATCAGAGACTCGCGTTAAGGTATCGGTTCCGTCGGCCTTTGGTGGCCATTCTTATTTTCCTCGTTTCTCCTCTATCCTCTGTCACATTTAAAGTAAAGCTTTCGAGAATGAAATAAATTATTTTCAGATTATTTCAAGAGGATGTGAAACAAGTTCTAGATTGGTTGACGAACCACGGTGAAGTATTTATTCGAAAGAACACGGGAGTAGGTCGGAATCTTCAAAAAGCAAGAGTGTATCAGAAAAGCCACGAACATTTTGAAAACGTTGCGCAGGTAATTAATTGGGTGTTGGAACGGATCGAATATTTTGGAAATTAAAAAGCGACCAACGGATATATTTTGTTAATTGTTCAGAACACGTACACGAATGCCACCAAGTTACTTACCGCTGCCCAAGAATTGGCACATACAGGGGAATGTGCCGCTGACGAGATATATGCCGTGGCACAGGAATTGGAAGCTCACGTCAGTAGTTTTGCAGCGAGAGTCGAACAGCGGAGACGGAGGTTGGATTTAGCGGTGATGTTTTACACGCACGAAAAAGAGGTAAGCAGCACGGTGATACGAATGGTGATACGAATGGTGATACGAATGGTGATACGAATGGTGATACGAATGGTGATACGAATGGTGATACGAATGGTAAATGGTTACGCGATGGTAAAATGGTTTTAATAATGTCTAAGTAAATAATAAAATAATTAAAAAAACGTGACAATGACACGCGGCGTGGTTGGCGGTGTTTGGCGGGGTGTGGTGCGGTCCGGTCCGGTCGTATCGTGCAGTTGAGTGGTTGGGTAGACGAATTGCGGCAGGAATTGCAACAGGACGAGGTGGCGGAGAATCTAGAAACGGCGGAGAGGCTGTTGGAGCAGTGTGCGCAACACAGATCGTCCTGTTTGGAGGCGTGCGCTTCGACCATAGTACAGGGCGAAGCGTTGCTTCAGGAACTTCGGGAATCTACCGATGCTCCCGACACCACTGGTTCCGTAAGTCTCTGTCCGCTACCAGCACAGTTCTCTCTTGAAGGAGGCGCTTGATAAGAGATAAATATGTTTTGTAACATTCGGTGACAGATAACTGCGGTAGAAGCTGCGCTGGACAGGCTGGCCGGCCTAAGACAAGAATTGGAAGATCTGTGGGCTACCAGGAAACTAAGATTGGAACTTTGTTTACGATTGCGCGTATTCGAAAGGGATGCCTTGGAAGCGAGCGGTCAGTTGGAGATGTGGGCACAAGAATTGCAAGGCGCGCCTCGAGAAGGTTCGCCCGAGCAGTTATTACGTGTACACAACGATGGTGTTGCTCATATGCAGAACACCGCATTTCAAGTGTTGCAACAAGGCCAGGAGCTTGCTCAAGTAAGAATCTGAAATGAAAGGGAAACTAGTAAAGGATTTTATAGTAAAGAAAAAACGGTTAATTATAATTAGTTATTATATACATATAAGCGAGATTGTTTTTTGTCGTTTGCCTGTGACGTAGGTATTGGAACAATCCGGAGTCTGTATAATGGCGGATGGGCAACACAGTGCGACTTCTAGGGTACAAGTACTTCTCGAATTCTTAAACGAAAGAGAAATGGACGCGGAAGATTTAGCGGAAATGAGAAGAGTTCGATTGGAACAAGCTTCGCAACTGGTTCAGTTGCAAACGGACGCTGCTCACGTAGCTAATTGGATTCGTAACGGAGAAGCTATGCTTTTGGCGTCGTTAAGAGTACCGGAGAATCTTCAAGATGCCGAGCAACTACGTCTGGAACACGAACAGTTTCAGGTCGCTATCGAAAAAACGCACACATCGGCCGTTCAGGTAAGGAAAATGATGATTCGGTTCCGTTGATCGATGTTGTAACGATCGATCGATCGATTCGCAGGTAAAGCACAGAGCCGATGCACTGGTAAGCGCTAATCATTACGATCCGAAGAGTATAAGGGAGGTTGCCGAAGAAGTGACCAAGAGATGGCAGCAATTAGTTACGTGTGCAGAGGAGAGACATAAATTGGTAACCGCTAGTATTAATTTTTACAAGACGGCGGAACAAGTACGTTCCGTATTGGACAGTCTGGAACGCGAATACAAAAGGGACGAAGATTGGTGCGCGTCCGGTGAAAAGGCCACGCAAGTGCCGACGCTTGTTGGTAAACATCAAGAACAAAAGGAGGCATTTTTGAAAGCGTGCACGTTGGTACGACGAACTGCGGAAACATTCCTCAAATATACGAATCGTAGTCTACAGTTTTATAGTTATCAGGCGAACAGCGCTGGTTCGGAGAATAAAGTTAAAAGTTGGTGTTATTTTATTCCGTTTGAATGAATCGATCGTAAAAGATTTTTTCACATTTTCTAGTTTCTTTTTTTTTACGGTTTCTGATTCAGGTATTTTAGAAGAATTACTGAGCAAGGAGAATCGAGTACTCGAGTATTGGACGCAACGTAAAAAACGGCTGGATCAGTGTCATCAGTACGTACTCTTTGAGCGTAGCGCCAAACAGGCTCTAGAATGGATCCGAGAAACGGGCGAATTATATTTAGCTACGCATACCAACGTTGGTAAAAATCGTATCGAAAACGAACAATTGTTACGAGAGCACAATGAGTTTAAGGGAGCCGCAAAGGTATAGTTTCGTTTCTTTTTCTTTTCTTTTCATTGATTATAAAGCTTTGTTTCTCGACGATTGGTATGTTTTTCATTTCCGAGTTGTTGTTGTTGTTGTTGTTGTTGTTGTTGTTGTTGTTGTTGATGACGATGTTGATGTTGCACCTAGGAAACGAGGGAACGGGTAAAACTGTTGATTCAACTGGCTGATAATTTGGTGGAAAAGGGTCATGCTCACGCAACGGCCATCAAACAATCCGTTGCCGAAGTGGATCAACGATACAAAGATTTTAGCACGCGAATGGATTGCTACAAGACTCAAATCGAAGATGATTTAGGAATTCAATCGGACGATGGACAAAAAGATTTATCTATCGATCGTAATTCGGATCCTTTGCTCGAAGAGAAAATCAAGGGAAAAGAGCTGAAAGAATTAAACGAGGAGAAAAGGAGATCGGCACGACGGAAAGAGTTGGTTCTCTTTTATACGGAAACGTAGTCTTTTCGCGCTCGGTGTTGAATATTGTTTCGGTATATTGGTATTATTTATTTAATTGGTTTCTTATTCGTTGTTATGTTACGACAGATTTATAATGGCCGAATTGTTACAAACCGAACGTACTTACGTAAAAGATTTGGAAACGTGTATCCGTTGCTTTTTGGAAGAAACGCGTTGCGGTAAAGGAAACGTTGTCCCGGCAGGATTGCACGGCCGAGAGTCAATAATTTTTAGCAATATGGAGGAAATTCATCAGTTTCATAGTAACATATTTCTTCGGGAGCTTGAAAAATACGAAACCATGCCGGAGGACGTCGGACATTGTTTCGTGACTTGGGTGAGCAACTTGTTTCTTTGATCTCGCGTCGGTTTTTTTTAAATGAATTCTATCAGGAAGTAGAATTTCTCGAGGTTGTTATCGACATAAATAACGAGAATGAGAATGAGTTTAACTTGAAGATTTTATTTATTCTCGTCCAGGCACCGAAATTTGACATGTACGTGACGTACTGCAAAAACAAACCGGAAAGTAATCAATTTCTAGTTACACACGGTGGGACATGGTTCGAGGAATTACAGAGGAAACATCGCGTAGAACATCCGATCGCTGCATATTTAATAAAACCCGTACAAAGAATTACAAAGTATCAGTTGCTACTGAAGGACCTTCAGGTACATAACGAAACGAGAGGATCTATCCAGCAGCGTTTACGATGGCATAAACGTAAACGTTTGTCGTGATCGTAACGTATTTTCCTCGCATTGCTAGTTTATCTTGTTGTTGTTGTTGTTGTTGTTGTTGTTGTTGTTTCGTTCCGTTCCGTTCCGTTCTCTTCTTTCCTACCGGTGGTTCTCTTTATCTCGATAATTCGATCGCCGTATTAACCTGTGTGTCCTTTTTTTGGGGGGTGGGGTTTCGTACGATTTAGGCTTGCTGCCAAGAAGGACAGGGCGAAATAAAAGACGGACTGGAAGTGATGTTAAATGTGCCTAAGAAAGCAAACGATGCCTTACATTTAAGCATGCTAGAAGGTTGCGACGTAAGAATAGATACGCTTGGCGATGTCGTGCTGCAAGACTCATTTACCGTGTGGGATCCTAAACAATTAATTAGAAAAGGTAGAGATCGGCACATATTTCTGTTCGAGTTGTATCTATTGTTTAGCAAAGAAGTGAAGGATTCCGCTGGAAAGGTAAGTAAGTTTGATATCTCGATAGAGAAAGGAGGAGGGCTGTGAATTAACCATAGGATCGTGGATTGGTGCGATCGGCTCGATAACCAATATGTGTATTATTGGTTTATCGCGACAGGTGAAATATATTTACAAGAGCCGTTTGATGACCTCGGAATTGGGCGTGACCGAGCACATCGAAGGCGACGAATGCAAATTCGCGGTTTGGACAGGACGAGCCCCAACCAGCGACACACGCGTCGTTCTCCGTGCGAATTCAATGGATGCGAAACAATTGTGGGTGAAGAGATTGCGCGAGGTTATTCAAGAAACGTATTTCAGCTTAAGCATGCCCAAGAGCCCTGCTAAAAAGAGCTCGAGTCAGCGTTCCAGCAGAGATCTCGAAGAATGCGCTTCTCTGGACGATAGCGTTGAAAATTTGGATAGAAACTCTCTGGCATCCTTTGGATCTACCAATACGACAGACTCTGACAAGGTAAGGAGAAATCTCCGATCCGGTCGGAAACTTTAAACTTTCGTATCTTTTTCCGTTTCTCAATCCTGGTTTATTTTACCGCGATCCTTGGCGACAGACATCGCGTTCGGGACACGTTACTACGTTGTTTCCAGAAAATGTAACAAATTAGTAAGAAATCGCGTGTTACGTTTCGTATCAACCGGACGAGAATTGGAGCAATTTGTTCGTTCGGTCGAGTATCGCGCGCAGCGAGGGTACCCCTAACAACGAGACCACGATGCAAATAAACATTGGAACTAGGTTTCGAAATTACGCGATTAAAAACGAAGTGGTAGAAAAATAAAAGAATATGCACGAATGGAATATAAACAGATGAGAGTTTATCGGAGACGCGTTATTATCTAGTTATCGAGTTTGATCGCAGTGTCGAATGAATGATTAAACGAACATGGTAAAAAGAATGTGAAAAGGAAGGATCTATGCGTATGGGGTGGTAGCGGGGTAGCAAAAGAGTGGCGAACGGTTGCTGCTTCTTTGGTTCTTGGCTGTAAGATTCGCTAGTGGGATAGAGGAATGAATGAATATCGTGGTGCATCGGTCGGTCGGTTGGTTGGTCGGTCGGTCGGTCGATCGGTCGGTCGGTCGGTCGGTCGGTCGGTCGGTCGGTCGGTCGGTTAGGGAGAAAAGCGTTGGTTGGGTGGGGTTCGAGAATAATCGAAAAGCGAGCAAGCGCGTTGCGATGCGATACGACGCGACGCGACGCGACGCGTGCATAAGAGGAGAAATACCAAAGATGAAAAGAGAAGAGAGAAAAGCGCCGCGGCGTTGCGCGTCGGGCTCGATAGGGGTAAGGGGCAAAGGGTGAGAAATAGATTGGCGGTAAGGTAGATGGTAGAAGGAAGGAGAGCGAGGGTACGGGGAACGATAGAGGTAACGGGTTCAGTACGGGCGCGACACTCGAGTCGAATGGATCCGTTCGATGGTGAGTGAGGAAGCAGCTGATACGAGAATTGGTCGGACGAGTCTAGTTTTGTTCTCCACCCCGTTCGAGAGAGTAAACGCGAAAGAGAACGGAAAGCATGTCGCTGCTGGCACGTTTGCCGACATCTTTAATCGCGTTTCTTGTTTCCTCTACTTGGATATCGGCGTTCGCGCACGTGAATTAAGAGCGAGGCGAAACTGTCATGACGTCGCCAGCAGGAAAACCTGCGACGATCGTCCAGAAAGCCCGCAGGAAGATCTCGTTACCTTGGTTCCGTCAGAATTCTGTAGCTCCACCACATGCAGCCCTCTCTAGGCAGCATACCATCGACACCCCGGGCTCGTTCCAGGCCCGACTTTTACATCGGCAACCCTCTCTCTCCCAGGTACTTGAGTACGCGCGCAGATCGTTTTTCGTTTTCCCGCACGTCCTTTCTACCGCTTGCTTGCTTGCTTGCTTGCTTGCTTGCTTGCTTGCTTGCTTGCTTACTCGTTACGTAGTTTCTCTCTCTCTCTCTCTCTCTCTCTCTCTCTCTCTCTCTCTCTCTCTCTCTCTCCCTCTTTACATTATCGAGCAAAACGTGTCTATTCGGAAACGAATGCTTGCCAAGATTCATCTCACCTTTGCTAAATACATATCGTACTTTTGTACCTTTTCGTACCTTTGAAAAATTTTCAATTGCATACGATCATTATGGATGGATTACTTTTCATTTGTTAAACCAACAACAACATTACGTAACGGAAATTTCATTTCATATCGTGTCCAAGTAATTATATGAGAACCTTGCTTTCGCAAATATGTCATCGGAACATTCGTAACCACCGTATCCCCGTAGCCACATACGCAGTCACATTTTCATTCGCGTTGCAATTATTTATTCTTTTCGTTTCTTTCGCTCTCGATACACCTACACTTACACACTTACACACCTACCACCTATTCTCTTTAGTTTTATCAATTATTAATTTATACTAGTTTTCATATATGTATATGTATATTCGAAATGATTAGAAACCGATGTCGATTTTTTGGCAATACCCACACATACGCGGTCGCGCGCGAGCGTGCGCGCACGCACATGCACGCACACGCAGACACGGTATCGATTTATGTATAATTTCATTTAATTTCTTTCAACACTTGTTCCCTATATTCTTTCTATTCTGCCTTATTCTTAGCCAATCTTGGACAACATTTTGCCTCGCTTGATTCTTTTCCCTTGGAATACCCAATTGCGGTTCGTCGTCACTTATCAAATTCCAAGTCATCGTTCGAATCATGCGTGAACGCGTGCAACCCGTTAAATGATTATATCTTGTTTTAAAACGCGAACATGTATTACGTAATCGAGTCGTTGCATACGTTGTGTGTACGAACCTCGAGATCTACATATACGACGACCGAACGAACGTCGATGCTCGTACGGGTAAAGTTTAGTCGAATGGATGGTTACGATTGGGCAACGTTCGTTACACGATTCGGCATATTGGAAGCATTGGGAAGATTCGAAGAGAATCGGCAAAATTTGGCACGTGGAAAATGTCTATTTTCGTCGGTGGAATGCGACGCGAGAGCGAGCGAGCGAGCGAGCGAGCAAGCAAGCAAGCAGTCGGGCTCCTCTAACTGTTTTGACTTCTCTCGAGCGTTAATCGCGGCACATCTACAACCATCATCGAGATTCGTCGCAGTCGATTTTAAATTTATAATAGCTGATTTTAAATGTGCTCCGCGTCTCGTACTTTTCTTCTTTTTTTTTTTTTATTAAACCTGCGAAAATTTCAATCGCACGCACATTTACTTTTAATGTCACGAGAACGAATGTCATTGAGAAATCGACTCGATGAGGAAAATGTGTTTAGGATGAATCATTTTCTATACGACGAACGCGATATACCGATCAAACGCAAATATTTAAACACGATAAGATGCGCAAATAAATAGAAACGAGAAATGAACGACGATACTCCCGAGTTGGCGCGTTTCGTTCGATTCGTTCCACGCTGTCTAGTTACGCTTCGAAAAATCAAGCATCTACGTAGATGCCACGGGTACAACGTGTCTTTACCAAACACAAGCTATTTCGATAAAATCGAAATCATCCAAGCACCGATAATCCATTAAACGCTCCATCGGTCCGCAAACTCATAGATAATCGGTGCAAGCTATTCTGTCAATCTGTTTTTCTGCGCTACCTCCTTTTCTTCTCCTCTTTCTCCTCCTTTCTCTCTCCCACTACTTGCTTCAACCTACTCTACCCTTCTCCGCCCCAGCTTCCACTCCCACCCACCCACTCTCTGTTCTCGCGCCTCCTGTCAATCTCAACTCCAACTCCACGAGCGTAATTTGCCGTGTATCGCCGTGTATCGCCGTGTATCGCCGTGTATCGCCGTGTATCGCCGTGTATCGCCGTTCCTCGCACTCGTTCTCACACGATTACGAAACGTCCAATTTCGACGCTTCGACGCGGCAGTCGAAAGAAGATCCTAATACACTCGTGGAGAATCGTCGCGATTCTAACCAGAGTTGTAACGATCGTTATACGGCGGCTTTCGAACAGCGAAACAATGTTACTAACCGTTTGGTGGAATCGTTACAGACTGGCGTAGCCGAAGTGACTTGGGTTATCGCGGATCACTCGGCAGCACCTGGCTCGAAAGAGTTGACAGTGACAAAAGGTCAACAAGTCGAAGTAGTGGAAAATGGAAGCAATATCACCGGTATAAACACGGCCGAATGGACCCACGTGCGTTTACTGCTCGCGCCAGGACAAATTGATCCTCCGCCAGAGGGACTGGTGCCTACGAGTGCGCTTAAACAACCTCCGTCAACTTCTACCAAGACTTCGCCATCTAGAAAGGCTCCAAACCAACAGCAACAGCAACAGCAACAACAACAGCAACAACAACAGCAACAACAACAGCATCAACATCATCATCATCAACAACACCATCAGCAGCAGCAGCAGCAGCAGCAGCAGCAGCAGCAGCAGCAGCAGCAGCAGCAGCAGCAGCAGTCGCAACAGCAGTCGCAACAGCAGCAGCAGCAGCAGCAGCAGCAATCGAGCAATCAAGCTCAAAGTCAAATTTCCAGTAGTAGCGGTATCTCGACTGCATCGTCTTCTAGTTTGGGAACTGCATTGTCGTCGTCGTCGTCGTCGTCCCTGTCTGTTGGAGTAACCACGCAAAACGTCGTTACGCCCCTACTGCCGGACGAAACAGGTGACTAATCATCAAGTTTTTTACTTGATCGATTTAAATCGATAAGCAAATGCTCGCACGTATGTATCCATCGACGACTAATAATTTAAGCCTAGTATATAGTTGAACAAAGAATCGAAATACGGTACGATGATAGCAACAGAGGAGGAGGAGGAGGAGGTATCGTGATATGGTGTCGGATATGGTTGGACAAGAGATAATAAATAAAGTCTAACAAGACACGATGATGATTAGCCATCGACAGGGAGGGAGGATTTTCTCTAGAAAACGCGTCCAACGTATGCATCGAAACTTGGACCACGTTTCTACGTGATTGTCAAAATGGTTGTGTGTTTTGGGCTTGATATACTTTATGGTACGCGCGCTCTGACGCAGCCGTATCGGATCAATACACAACGATATAGATACCCTGGGACAACTATGTCCTTGACCGGTTCAATCTCCGACTAACGTGCCGGCGGCAGAGGCACTAGTATAGTTGACGCGTTCGGCATGTTTAAGAAATGTTCGTTAAATAAAACTATATTTCGATTCTTGTCTATTTTAACTGGAAAACGTGTGTTCGTGGAAAGCTCGTTCTTTGAAATTCTCTTTAATAATAATTAAAAAGAATAATCGTGGTGGAAGTCGATTGAAATGATGACCGGATATGTCTCGATTATTTCTGTTCAGAAAACATTGGAAACGATGGAAGCGGTGTCGCGAACACAAGCTCTCCCGGAAACAAGAGACGCGGTTTCAGTGGGTAAGTCGATCGATCGAATATTTAACGAAACACGAGATAGCCAAAGATATAAGATCGAAGGGAAGAACGAGGAGAGAAGGTGGTCGTTGGTTTGATCAAATTGTCCTGTTTTCGTAGGAGAAAGTGGTTGCCCCCGCCGTTGCGTAAACTCAGCCAAGGAAAAGTGGAGAAATCGGCAAATACGACACCGGCAGCGACATCGGCGAGCGCGATCTCGGCTCTACCGTTCATCGATCGTTCCAACATGAAAAAGAACGTTTCGGAAAAACGATTCAAATTACCGAGCGGTGCCGAACAAACTCGACCATCGAGACCCACTCCCGTTTCCATCGCCAGTTTGACATCCGCGACCGCCACGATGCACGTGTCCGATTCGATATCCGACGTAGATCTCGATACCGAACTTCCAACCGAACTCGAAGCGGAAGAAGAGGAAGAAGCAGAGATCGAGCCAAGTTCCGAGATGGAAGAGGATACACCGGAGCCCGACGATACCGAGGGATTAACTTACTCGGAACAAAACGGAGCGGACGATGCCGACGATGAGTTTGAACTTCCACCACCGATGAAACCCATCACCGAGCCGATACTCGTAGGAACTGCCAACGGATCCTCGGGATCGGCAATTCCAACGGAGGGCTGTGCAAAATCTAGAGTCAGTTTAATCTATAAATTCTATTATTTATTTTCCTTATCACACCTCCTCCTCCTCTATATTTTTTAATCATTTCTATCTCGTATTTCTATCGTTTAGAGAAACGTGACACGTTTTCGCTTCTACCCTGCATTTCTTTAAACGATACTAAATATCGAGATTAGGCATTTTTCTTGCTCGATATCCTCTTCTCTATCCGTATTCATTCCAACAAACTATAGAAATTACGTAGTAGAAAACAGTAGGTACGAGTAATTTAAATTATTTTTCCTCTTTCTTTTTTTCCTCTTTCTCTCGATAGACATCCGAACGGTCCGTAAAAATTCTCGATGGTGCTACGACGGTCGATTTAGCCGAAATCGAGCAAATCGTAAAAGAGAGAATGGTGAGTTTATCGAATGAAAAATATCGACCAAGCTACTTGTAATTATTCTACACGAAGCGTAAATTTTTTTACGATAATCAATATTTATTCGTGCAAATAGGAGCAGCACACGGAAAATCAAGAGAGACAGTGCTTGATGCGAACACCCAGCGGTAAAAGTTCCAATATTGGCACAAGCACAGCCGATGATGACGATAGCTATAACGAAAGTTTCCTCTCAACGACCGAAGGAACTACTACTACTACTACTACTGTTACTACTACTACTACTACTACTACTACTACTACTACTACTACTACTACTACTACTACTACTAGTACTACTACTACGGGAACGGTGACCGCAACGACGAGCAGTCCTGCTCATAGAAGTACGGAGGAATTCGATCCTGAAAGTACAATTCTTACGAAGCGGCAGTTTGTGATTCGTGAATTGGTAGATACGGAAAAAGATTACGTGAACGATCTAAGACAAATAGTTGAAGGATACATGTCGTTGATGCGAGATTCCGAGTGTGAAATTCCTCTGCCGGAAGACTTGCGCGGTGGAAAAGACAAGATGGTGTTTGGCAACGTAGAAGCGATCTACGAATGGCACAGAGAGTGAGTTATCGTCGAGAAAAATATTATCCCGATACTACCGACTACCGAATACGAAACCTTTCTTAATTCACCGGATCCTTTGCTTCTTTGCACGCGTACAGTTTCTTTCTGAAAGCTTTGGAACGTTGTCTGGAACGTCCCGAGGAGCTCGGTCCATTGTTTAAACGTTACGAGAGGAAGTTGCACATGTATGTCGTTTACTGTCAGAATAAACCAGTTTCCGAGTACATCGTATCCGAGTATATAGACACGTACTTTGAGGTAAGTCCGACTACCTTGGATGAAATTTTTCTGCCGAAAACCATAATCGTAATAGTTTTCTATTGGATCGGGTCGATAATAGGACCTGAGACAGAAGCTCGGGCATCGATTGCAATTGTGCGATCTTTTGATAAAACCGGTACAGAGGATCACCAAGTATCAGCTCCTTCTTCGAGAAGCGTTGAAGCTTACCGAACGGACTCAAAAGATCTCGGAAATCGAAGGCCTTAGAGCGGCGGTCCACGTGATGCGTATTATCCCAAAGGCTGCCAATGACATGATGGACGTCGGACGACTCCAAGGTTTTGACGTGAGTATGCTGCCGATTAGGCTGCCTTGAATACGACTGCATTTACCAGCAGGCAGGCAGGCAGGCAGGCAGGCAGGCAGGCAGGCAGGCAGGCAGGCAGGCAGTTCTGTTTACTCGTCCGAGCAATCTCCTCTTTACTTGTTCACCCGATGCTTGTTGCAGGGAAAGATTACGGCGCAGGGGAAATTATTATTACACGGTCCACTATTGGTATCGGAATTATCAAATGTTACGAACAGGGGAAGGGAATGGCAAGTTTTTCTCTTCGAGCAAAACATTATTTTCAGCGAGGCTGTTGGCAAAAAGACTCAATTCACAAATCCCGCCTACATTTACAAAGCTCATATCCAGGTAAGAAAGCATTTAGAAATTCGTGTCGTGATTTTTATTACCGAGACGGAATTATTACCGTATTACCCCGCGCATACCGTATCTTCTATTTTACGAGGACTTTAAGCACAAGAAATTATCAAGCCCGACCACCTTTAAACTCTGAAATCATAGTAGAAAAAGTCGAAAGACCAAAGTGTAGAAAGGTTTCGAGAAAGGTAATCCAGTTACGGTCGATACTTGTTGTTTCGTTCCATGACAGGTAAATAAAATGAGTCTCGAAGAATGTTACGACGATCCGGAAAAGTTTGTAATTCGATCGACGGATCCTCGGAATCCTGGCCTTGGGTTCTCTTGTAACGCCGTAGAAGAAAGCGGGCCGCGGAAGCAGGAATGGGTGGACACGATCACTGCCATCCTGCAAACCCAACGCGACTTCCTCAAGGCGCTACAGTCGCCGATCGCCTACCAAAAGGAACTTACCAAAGATCCACTGTAAGCGTCTCTCTATCTAATACACAGAATTGCATTGACTCTCTTTCAACGCTCGACCTGTGAAGATTCGTTCCAACATATTTTTGTATATTTTATATAAAAAGAGATACAGAAGCGCTGTATGTTAGAGAACCGTAGTCGTCTCCTGAGCCAAAACCCGTTTCACTCTCTGTTTTCCTTATTATACTCTTTCATTCTCACCACGTCAAAATTTATTCTCTAATCGCATCTCGCACGTACAGTACGTACTCTCTCTTTCTCTCTCTTCCCCGCCACCCTCCTTTCTCTCACCCTCCTCTCTACACACACGCACACACACACACACACACACACACACACCATGTTAGAACGTGCTTCTTTCTCTTGTTTGCCTTAACATCGCAATCCGGGAATCTACCTCGCTATCGCTGCTGTGGGTGTAGCTTCATCGTGTAAGAGCGTCCTCTGCTATATTTCACAGCTACCTATTTCCTTTCGAGTCAACTTGAACGTTCCTACGACCGCTTTTGCCGCGGTTCATCAAAATCATATGCGATACGATACGACACGATACGACACGATACGATACGATACGATACGATACGATACGATACGATACGATACGATACGATACGATACGATACGATACGATACGACACGACACGATACGACACGATACTATCGTATTGCGATGCAATCGAAATGGGCTCTGTTATTTCTCGGTTATATGTTTGCAGATGAGAGTAGATATATAATAACGTGCATCCACTCGCACCAATTAATTCCTCTTTGCTAGTCCTCTATGTCCTGTTCGAAGGGAAAGAGAAACATGGAGCGTGTGTATGCGTGTGTATGTGTGTATGCGTGCGTGCGTGCGTGCGCGTATGCGTGTGCGCGTGTGTGTTGTTGCATGGTTCCGTACCTGTGCGTTCGTTACGTATCTGTCTGTCGCCGCGTGCCTGCATGTATTTTGTATGTACGTGTGTGCGAGAGGTGGGGGTGAGACAGACGAATTTAATTGAAAATTTTCAGCTGGAAGAAAGCTTAACATTTGTATGTAGAAAATTGACAAATTTCGTACAAGGAACACGATGATACAACAAGTGTATGTATAATTTTTTCTTTTGTTTCTTTTTTCTTTTTTTACATGTAAGAAATTTCGTGGAGAAAATGGCATAGAAGGAAATTGCGTGCGAACGTAGAGCGGTAAGATGGCGCGTAAAACGTTGCGAAATAAGCGAAATTACACAAGACCGGGTGTGCCCGATGCGCTGACTCACCCCCCAACAAATAATAAATTACCCATTAACGTCAACGACGTAACGCTGCAAGTGTATAATACTTTTAATAATGTTTATATAATGCGAGGTTGAACGAGCTGGGGAATACTGTGCTGTACATAGATGTGCATTCATGGACGGCGACATAAAGTAAAATTAATGACTCGCGAAACGTAAACATTTTGTTTAGAATAAATTGTACATTGATCAACATATTCTAATTGTGATGCGTCCTTTCCCATGCCTACTTAACACAACTTACTTTTCGTTCGACTAACAGCTTATTTCTCTTATCGTTTGTGGAAAACACGGTACTGCGTTGCTAATTTGTTGTTCGGGCAAAGCATCGAATTGCTTCGAACGTACGTGTCGAAAGAAGTCGTTTTCTACGAAGGGACCGATCGAATAGTGGATAAACGGTAAACATTTACGTTTGGTGGACGATTCGTATTCTGTAATTAATTTGCTGGGGCTTTGCCGATCTCCTTTAAATATCAACGGTCGATTATGATCCTTGGAATTGGAAATCTAAAGTATAGAATTTAATCGTCCGAGCATTGATTTCTTTTTTCAAATAAAAAAATAGTAAATGTAAAAAGGTGTCGCGTGTAACGTTAGCTGCAGTACCGTGTTTGAGTATTTCATTTATAATTTGCTGGCGTACAGTCGTGGCGCGAGCCCGGAATCTCCGTGTCGAGGAAGTGTACCGAACGTGTCTAAAACGAACGAGGAGAGGAGGAACGAGATCGCTGGTCTCTCTACAGCTTCGAAAACATTAGCAGCAGCGATAATGACGAGCGCGGCAACAGCGACTGCAACGACAACAACATCGCTTTTGCAACAGTCTCGCACCGGAGGCTTAAATCAGGATTCTTCCCGAACACCAAGCCCTACCAAAAGCAGACTACATTTTCTCGAGGGATTCAGGAGCACGCTACGATCTCGATCGCCCGTTCGCAACAACTCCATCCCGGTGAGCAACAACACCTCGATTACTCTTACTTGATAACTGTACATACATATACATATACATATACATATGTAAATCTATTTGCCTATTCGTAATTAGAACTCTTGCAATTGCAGCAAAAGGATTCTCCTTTCTCTTCCTCTTGATGCCTGTTGCTATTCGCTCTCTATCGTATGTATAACTGTTCCTCGGTGCGGCGACAAGCTATCTTTTTTTACTTTAGTCACTGAACGAACCTGGCCCCAAGGATAACGCGGCATGGTTCCTTAACGGCATCTTGTACTTTGCTGTCTCTACATGAAAAATTACGTGGACATGGTACAGGCTCGAAATACTTGACTGGTTCGACAAGATTTTTTATTTAGATAGGAACGCTTTTAAACTGTTCGATTTTATAGGTACTTCATCTCGCATTGTTACATTATTTTTCATCGCCAACGTCGTGTTTGTTGTTGCTATTGCCGTAAATTGTCGTCGTCGTCGTCGTCGTCATCGTCGTCATCGTCGTCATCGTCGTCATCGTCGTCATCGTCGTCATCGTCGTCATCGTCGTCATCATTGCCGCCGCCGCCTCGCCGTCGTCGTCAACGTCATCGTGGTCGTTTTGAATGTTTTCGCCACCGTCGTCATTAATATCGTTATCATTCCATTGTCGACTGCAGTCCGATTATCCTCAATTTCTTATCGCTAACAATTGCTCGATTTATCAAGGGCAAAAATTTCATTATTACTGGTGCTATTGTTGTCACTGTCACTGTCGCTATCGCTATAAACGAATGTGTATACATAGATATCAAATGGTTAATTAATTTAAGCCGCCTAGCTCTGTCTCTTCTCTTTTTCTCTGTATTAGATGTTGGAACGTTGTCATCTCTGTATAGTTGCGCTGCTAATTGTCGTTAGCATAAAATAATGGTGTATTTTCGGTATCGCTTCGGGTATCGAAAAGAGACTCGATAAGGGATTTCGGTGATTTCTCGAGGGAGATGGGTGGTCTGAAATGTATCGAGCGAGCGAGCGAGCCAGTGCATGAAGGTTCGAAAAAGGGTTCGGTGGAAAAGATTCGTAAAGTTAACGGGGAGATTCCGCAGATCGTTCCAGGTAGCAGAGTAAGATTGACCGCGGATTGGGGCAAGTTACGCGCCGGAGAAGAGTTGGAAATCTCTCGACTGGACGGTCCAGGCTTGATCGTCTCTCCGGTGGTCGGAAAGAAGGAAGAGTTCTGGATCCCGGCGAGTCTCGTTCCAAATTCGTCCATCAGCCGCGCATGGTCGTTTCGTCCGCGAAGAATCGATTCCGAGGGAGAGAGGAGCGTCCATCTTCCGCAAGAGATACGCGCGGAAGAGAACGGTCCTCCCGCGATCTTGACTATTCCGTGTTCGATCAGGGCGACGGCTGGTGGCGTGGCTCGACTCGTGCTGGAGGCGCGTCGCGTGGAAAGAGCGATCGTTTCTTGGAGAAGGGAGGGGCAACGATGTAACATCGAGGAAGGCGATCGATATCGACTATGCCGAACCGCCGATTCCCTTTCTCTCGAGATCGCCCCTTGCCTGCCCTCTGACTCCGGAATTTACCATTGTCGCGTCGAGCATCAAACAGGCTCTTGTGCGGCCAAGATTCCTCTTCGCGTTGTAGGTAAGTTACATTTTCATCTTTCACTTAAACTTAAACTTAAACTTGAACTTGAACGAGCTAATCGATTCTTCTTCCCCCAGGTATCGGTGCAAATGCTTGGAACGATCGAAACGATCGAAACGATCGAAACGATCGAAACGATCGAAACGACACGATCGATATTAAAGGCCCTCGATCGAATCGATCGACGAGCAACGAGCCATCGATAACGGACAATGAAACCACCACCAACGTCATCTCCGATCCCGACAAGAACAAGACTACGAAAGATACAGAAATAGACGCACGAGACACGGAACAACGATCGATGTACGTAGGGACGTACGTAGAACTGGAAGAATTGGGAAACGGTAGATTTGCCAAAGTATGTCGCGCAATGGACAAACAAACTGGCCGAGAAGTGGCTCTCAAGCAGATATCACGATCGAAGCAACCGCGATCGGTAACACGCGCCGAATACGATTTACTTCTGACCACTCGTCACGATAATATCATTCGGGCGTTGGCACTCTTCGAAGATGCGCCAGAATCGGACATTGACACTATCGTTTTGGAACTGTGAGTACCACTTTTATTACACCGCTTCTCTTACGATACGCGATTCATTCCCATCTTTCTACCTACAGAGTCAAAGGTTCGACGTTGTTCGCGTATCTCGGCGAGAAAACCGATTATACGGAAGCGACTGTTTCATACTATACCAGTCAAATATTATCGGCACTGGAGTGGTTGCATTCGCGAAAACGAGCGCATTTGGATATAAAACCGGAAAACATTTTGATCGATCGAGAAACCGATGGTGTAAAATTGATCGATTTTGGCGAAACTGTCAGAAAGGCGCCGCTCGATCAAGTCGTTCCGCCCGTTGATTTGGAATTTGCAGCCCCGGAATCGGTCCTTGGCAGACCGATAGGATCCTACACAGACATGTGGGCCGCTGGAGTTTTTCTCTACGTGCTTCTAAGGTATCATCCTCGTTCTTTACGATATTTATTAAGCATTTAAATTATCTTCACGATCGATATCGATTATATCCATTTCAGCGGCCTTTCACCCTTTTTGGACGATTCCATCGAAGAGACTACCACCAATATACTGAAATGTGATTTTTGTTTTCCCGACGAATATTTTCAAACGATATCCAACGACGCGAAACACCTTCTCAAAAGATTGTTGTGTCTGCGCGGAGAAGAGAGATTGACCGCTCGAGTTTCCTTGTTATCGCCTTGGTTCCAGGTGACGCGTCTACAATATTTCCTCTCTCTCTCTCTCTCTCTCTCTGTTCAATCTATGTATAAAACACGTTGCGCGTTCAATTAATTTCCAATTATACGACTTTTTCAATTTTGTTTCAGATACCGATTGGCGCGACAATTCCTTCTTCCCGAATGGTTGCGTTTATCGACCGACGCGCACATCGCTCGAAATCTCGAAACGATCGAAATAGCAGTTTTTATTCGTGAAAGTATGTCGTTTTCAAGAGAGCCGCGTAATTCATTCGTGGATAATTTTAATTGTTTCCGGCCAACGAATCTGGCCAACTGTAAATAAAACTGCAGCTGCAAGAAGCTGCTTCCACGAGTATTCGTACCCTTGTTGCGTGCGCGTGTGTGTGTGTGCGTGTGCGTGTGCGTGTGCGTGTGCGTGTGCGTATGCGTATGCGCGCGTGGCCGCGCTCGTCTGTATGTTGAACAAAGTTTCTTAAATTGCCTGCTATATGAAATAAATAACGGGTCGTAACACGATCCGTGACAAAACTTCCTGACAAAACTAACGTCGAGCTTACGACCATCGGAAACGTATTTATGATGATGCGTTTCATCGTACGAGGTTTAAGGCGTTTTTGCTGTAAAAGCACCGTTTTTAATTGTTATTTCGTAGCCTCGAATTTTTATACTTTTTTTTTTTTTTTTTTTTTCTAAACCAAACTACTTTTACCGAATTTAATGAAACAATTTAATAAAATAAAGATACTGATCTGATTTATTTGTTTTTATTAGGCGGGTAAAAACAATTTCTTTTTTTTTTTTTGCTTATTTCATATAATAGGAAATTTCGAAGAATCTGCGTAATGCTAACATGCACGCGCGCAATACTATTTTATAGATATCTCTTGGACAAACAATTTTCTCTACAAGGGAATTCGAACGGTGCAATTCGACCAGTCGAAATAATAAATCGCTTCTATCGTGTGCGATGCAACGGGGGACCGGGGACCTTTTCATTCTATCACGGTGACACTCTTAGTCGTTTACAATGATCGAGCACGTGACGTTCGTATTCTTCGGCCGAAGGAAAACACTTGTCGCAAAGAAGGCACGTCGTATCTTTTCTCTTTACCGAGCTACAACGTATTCGATGAATACTCGGTTCTACCGCCGTGTCCACTTTTTCGTTGCAATCTGGACAGTTTTCGAATTTTTCCTCCTTCTGTTCCTGCTGCCTCGTATTCGTTTCGAATATACTATTTGAACTTGTACTATTCCCTCCCCTCGGATTACACTCCAACGTTGCAACAACGTTCGAAGGTGCGACCGTAACGGAGCAACACTCTTGCTCTTCTTTCACTTGTACGACCTTTGAAGATAGAATCGACGAGTTGTCGATTGTTTTCGAGCCCCCTATATCCGATTCCAACGACGCGATCGAGCTTTCAGGGTGACTTTTCATATGTTCGACGAGAATTTGCTTCGAAACAAACGTTACGCTACACAATTCGCAAAAATAATACGACGTATCGTGTGATTGACATTCGTTCACATGTTCTCTCAGTACTCTTTTCTCGATAAATTCTTCTTGACAATGTTCGCAACGATATCTCCGTTCTCCGTGACGCATAGCACGATGCTTCGAAAGTAGAGATTCGCTCTCGTAACAGGCCAAACAATCCGTGCACCTGTACCCAGACAATTCCGAGTGTTTGCTTACTAAATGGCATTCCAACTGACGCCTAAACTCGAACACCTCGTTACAAAATCTGCAACGTATACACCGAGCTTTGTACTTGTATCCCGTATTCCCATCGTTTCCAACCTTACTCTCCTCCACCTTAACAATGCTTTTCTTTTTAATATTCGGTTTCGTTTCTACCTCGGTCTCTCTCTCAGTCTTCGTCGTCGTCGTCATCGTCGACGTCGTCGTCGGCGGCGTTGTTGTGGTTGTTGTTGTTGTTGTTGTTGTTGTTGTTGATGTTGTTGTTGTTGTCGTTTCCACCTTTGCTGTATCCGTTTCTACCTTTCTTTCCAATTTTTCCTCGACTCGAATAAACTTGTCATTTTCCTTCGAATCATTATACTGTTGCCGGTTCATCAATTTTATAACATCCGACCAATCGAGTTCTTCGTCGCTATGACACGTGTCCGTAAGTAACGAAAACACCGTCCCACCTTGCCTATGTTCGTCGAGCACCGGTATATCCTCGTTTCGGTAGTTGTTCTTTTCTCTCACCGGTTCCTTTACGGCATAATCGTAAAGCGAATTTCCAACCGTGTTATCCTCCCTCTTATGATTGGAAATCGATAATGTAATTTGACTCTGCCTATGCCTCGATCGTGCTCTCCCGGCATATCCTCGAGTACGAGGTCTACCTCGACCACGACGGAATAAACCACCGCGCGTAATTCTTGGTGCAGGATCTTGTTGCTCCGATGCCTCTTTCTTCTCTTTTATTTTTTCCGTTTGTTCTTTTCTCATGTGCTCACCGAGCGTATGTAAAGGCTTTCTAGGCATGCTGTTTAATCGCGTATTTGGAAATACATGACGCAAAGTATTGTCCGCTATGTAAATTTGTTGAAAAAACTTGAAAGATTGTTCCAGCTTGTCGACACACTCGTCGCACATCTTTGTCGGTAACGCATCCTCGTCGTCAATTTCTATCAAAAGTTTCAGTTTCGATAGAAGGCTCATCTCTGTGCCCTTTCCCTTGGTTGTCATACTTACAAGGTTCTGCTTCTTAGTAGCACAAGTTCTACACCACTGATCTACTTCAAATTCAAACGGGCAATTTTTCTCCAGAACTTGATTCGTCGACGCTTCCTCCGTCGAATTCTCTTGGCCGTTTAATTGTACTTTCTGCAAAGTGCAACGATATGGCTATAGGTATTTTATAGCGCGGATATTAATTATAGACAATTCGCACCTAGACACGGAATGTTTCGTGTCGTTACCTTATACGTAAGTACTTTGTACAGCATGTACGAAGAAAACGAAAAATACTTACTCGGTGTGCTTTCGCTGTCTTTAGCATTCTCGAAATGTTACTCCAATGCGGTGAAGGGACTGCATTTTCCTTCAAAGTACCTTTGCTGAGATAGCAGTCCTCCGTAAAGTGACTGTTACAGACAAAAAATTTCATAGATCGTAACGCATCCAAGTCTTTTCCAATCAGATTTACGTGACCACTGTTAATCAACCATCTCACACAGAGACTGATATCGCAAACGGGAAGTTCGTGGAGTATATGCTCCTTTTCTCTAGCATCGAGACAATCGATGTATTTACATTTTGTTACTTCCTCCATTCTTCTTAATCGCAATCAACTCGTAAAATGCAAACGAGATAAATCCCTTTATTTCTTAATAATCCTTCTTTCCTGGAAAAGTTTACAAACTTGTGTCTATCTCGTACAGGTTATACATAATTAAACCGCGAAAAGTAGTACACTGTTGCTGGTTATGCCTGCCATCTCTCGTTATGTGTCAACAATTTTAAAAGTATAGAAATTTACTTACGTAGAATGTCCGGAGACAAAGATTCGTGCCATGAGATTGGAGAATCACCAGCGCCGGCTATCCTTTCTTCTTTACCGTGCGTTTTCACTTTTTCCATGGCGAAATGGTAAATGCCGTAAATGGTGTTGTTACCATAGGCCATAGATAGGCTAAATCGGTTCCGGCGAAATTAACTAGCTAGAGACTATTATGTTTGCCAAGTTGCTCAGACACGCACTCTACGTTGCAGAATTGTACTTTCAGAATATGTATTATGTAGTACCTATGTAGGTACTTACTGTCGATCGCAATCTAGAAAATCAAGTATAACAAAATAGGTACGACGATATATTAAACTAAATTATTTCGAAAAAATGTTCTTTTATTCGTCTTTTGTCCAACGCTTGAGGTACCTACAGCTTACGTATCCGGTATCACGTAATGATTTCTTCTTTAGCGTCGTGCGTTTTTTCCGACAACGTATACTTACCAGTTTCTATATTGGCCAGCACCGACTTTCAATCATAACATATTAAATGTCGCAGAGCTATCGACATAACATTCCAATTAATTATACCAATAAATATGGTAGTTGTATATACGTTAGATATTTCGAAATGCCGAGCCGCCATTTTGTCGCGCGTTCGTTTAATTAACAATTTTTCCGATGCAGTAATAATCGAACCGCGCAACTGGAAACATGTCAAGAAGAAGAAGAAGAAGGGGCAACCGGGGCTAGTGATTTTCCCCTTAGACGGTACGAATTTAAATATTTTGCTGTTTGTATAATATGGTGGGGAAAAAGAAACTTCGGTTATACCGTATAATGAAATTTTTTTGTAGATTTAGATAAGGATGCGTTTCTCGACATATGTTGCAAGGGAAATACTAAAGGAGAATAATCGAAGTTCAGTTGTGGTTGGCAACTTCACGGCTACAAAGGTCTGCGAAATCAAACCAGTAAGAAGATCGAAAAATTTTCTGTGCGAAAATTTGGACGGTTAAACCGGATACGCGAAACACAAGGCAGCGCTACCGTCGCGATCAACTTGTAGCAAATAGATACGCTGATACGTCATAAAATGTTCAGATTCAACTGTACCATGAAACGTTAAACGACGGTATGTATGCGCGTACGATACAATATGCAATAGTATGGATACGAACGATGTGTAGAAGCAATTATTACTCCGTGTTGTTTACCGAGAATGTATTTGGAATTAATAGTTTTCTAGATTCAAGGAAAATATTGTCGATAGTTGGATTTTCCAAGTGTTTTGTGTAAACATATCTATTTGCACGTGAACATCTATCGACGATAATTCTACTTTCAGATTTCGTATAGGGTACGCGAACTAGTCGTGATCGCCAGGTTTAAATAAATTTAATCTGTTGTGGCATTAGCAACGAAATGTCTGAAAAAATCCAAGACACGATCGAAGAGGAGAACTCGGTTACGATGTTGGACGTGCTACGAGAAGAGAAACAGTTGGAGGAAGATGCTTATGCAGTTTTAGGCGCATCCGATGACAAAAATTGCACCTATAGCAAGGTTTCGTTATCAAGATCCTAACCTTATCGAACGTTAAAGTAATCAAAGTAGAAAGTAAACAGTGTTTAACCGAATCGTCCGTAAAATTGTTTCCAGGGATATACACGGCAAGCCCTTTACGCGTGCAAAACCTGTTGTCCACGATCGATAAGAGCCGGTGTTTGTCTGGCCTGTAGTTTTCATTGTCACGAAGGTCACGAGCTCGTCGAACTCTATACCAAAAGACATTTCAGATGCGATTGCGGCAACTCAAAATTTGGAGAAAAAAAGTGTAATCTAGAGACGGTACGTCTTGTATTATTTTTCTCCCCCCCCAACTATATATTTGAAGAATGTTTTCGTAATCGTTTGTAGACAAAAGACTCTGTAAATTTGGAAAATCAGTACAATCATAACTTTGACGGAGTTTATTGCGTTTGCGAGCGACCTTATCCGGATCCGGAGGACAACGTAAACGACGAAATGTTGCAATGCATAATTTGCGAGGACTGGTATCATTCCATGGTAAAGTATAGAAAGTATATGATCTTGGAAGCTTTTCAGATCTGATTTCGTACGATTTTTACAGCATCTTGAGTGCGAACAAGGCATGCCGTTGGACGGAGCTTACGACGAGATGATTTGCACGGGATGTATGATAAAACACGAGTTCCTTTGGAATTACGCAGGCAAATACGCGGGTAACTTTTATTAACGATGATAATGTTACGGCATACCATCGTTGGTAGAAAAGTCGATTAATAGCGTAATGCTTGTCTCGATCTTAGTGTTTGCAAAGACGCAAGTTCCATCCAGTGGGAAGGAAGTGGAATGTGTCGAGGTTGAAAAGCAGCCTAAAGGATGTACAATGCCAGAAAACGATTCCGTAAAGACGTTTACGAAAGGTAGCTGTTGTTTTTGGTCGGAAGGCTGGAGAGCTGCTCTGTGTACGTGCAAGAGCTGCAATACGGTACACCTTTATTTATCTATGTCCAGATTCTTTTTCCCGTTCCGGTAGATTGTTTGAAAAACTATTTTCTTTACTGTGGTAGCTTTATCAAGAGAAAAATATTACGTTCCTTCTTGATCCAACGGACAGTGTACACGCTTACGAGGAAGCGGGGAAAATCAACAGTCAAGAATCACGGTACGAGAAAGGTATGAAGGCTCTTGCTTCTTTGGGTCGTGTCGAACAGCTGACAGCCATCGAAGGTAAACTGTTAAAGTCGCGTTTTCTGATTCCGATTATCGGTTCGATAATCTGTTTTTACGTTTCTTTTTCTGCATGTTTGACAGAGTACAACAATATGAAAGAGCGATTGAAACAATACTTGCAGAAATTTGCTGAAAACAAGAAGGTTGTTCGAGAGGAAGATATAAAGGAATTCTTTTCAGAAATGGAGTCAAAGAAACGACCAAAAGTCGTAATACCCACATACTGTCGTTAAAAAATATTTTTATTAAGGATCGTCGATCGTTGAGAGGAAAAAGTCTCGATGTATGTATTTCTATTATCACAAACTACACAACTTCTTGTTCTTTGTATTTTTCATCCAGTTGCCGATAATTATTCTCGCGATATATTATTATAATCATCATCATCATCATCATCATCATCATCATCATCATCATCATCGACTCGTATTTAGAGTACCGAAGTTATTTCCATAAATTGAAAGGTATTTGTGATAGGGAATAAGAAAGAAAAAAGTATGAAAAGAGAAAAATATCTAGTTATTTTCGTAAAACCTCGAGAACCGTACGTACGACTGTCGCATTTAAGTAGGAAAGAAAGTTTACCACCGTTTCGTTCGGTGGTAAAAAATTGAAAGATTAAGAGAGAAAAGAATGAAACGGAACGAAGGAACATTATTTTATTATTCGAGTTTACATAGGAGAATCGGTTGTCTCGTGACCATGCAGCTGCAAAGGTATCACTAATATCGGCTCCGTCGAATTTGGTTTATCCGTATAAATGGACCAAGTTTTTTCAATACAGTCAAAGATTCCTGATAAAGATGGATTTGATCGATAATTGGTCACATACCGTCGGCGAACGAAAACGAATAAGACGGAGAAACATACCGGTAGCGATGGTTTTCACACGGTCGTCTTTTTTAATTTCTTGATAAACTCTGTACTCGTCGTCCGTCTGATCGCTTAGAATGTTTACAACATCTTGGCGAGACTTTGGCGGTGGATGGTTACGTATCGTTTCCATTCTCTTTACGCTGCTGTCTATAATAAGACCATCAACCTCTGGTACTTTTAGACGAAGATATCTAAAAAATTGGTCGTGTTGGAGTTTCGGAGGCGCGATGCTGATGAAATTGTATTACATTGTATAATGAGCGATAATCGATAAAGGAACGCGTGCGTCGACGTTGTTTCGTTAGCTCACTTGTTGCAGTGGAAAGTATTTTCTCCAGGACTGACGGTCAAAATGCTCAATTGAGATTGCTTGGCGTCGATCTCGCAGGGACCGATTTCGGCGTTGTGAAACATTCTGTCGCCTTCTTGCGTTAAAAAGGTCATGTTTACCGCGAATCCGTCGGCCGCACCGATACCATCGTTTCTCAAAATTTCTTGAGCTTGCACGTAATTGTCGGCGGCCAGTAGCGCTCGAGTTATAAAGTACCTGGCTGCTCGATAGAAATGAATTCGCTTAGATTTCGTAATGCTAGCAGATGATAAGTCGCGGAGACGCTCTAGTGGTTGGCTAGTGGGATTCGTTTAAAATATTAGCTATTCTATCGCGAAATGATAAGTCGAAAGGTACTTACGCGTTTTGCCGGATCTTAGACTCGCAGCGCTAAGAGTATTGATGGTATAAACGAGACCATGATAATTGTAACCCATCGTGTATCCCGGCAAGAGGCCGGCATAACTCAAAGACGTGAATTTTTCTTCCTTGCAGCCTGGTTCGAGTACGTGCGCAGAAACCAGATACCAATAATTTAAAGTTTCGCCAAGCGCGTCTTCGTTATGCCCCAAGATTTGCTGTTTTCAATCAGAAGATCGATTTCGTTGGGAATAACAGAGAGAGAGAGAGAGAGAGAGAGAGAGAGATATACGGATAGAACGGTGGCTAGGAAGAGGAGCGCGTAAATCGCGAGTTGGATAGCAAGCATTCTCAGCGTTTGTGTGACCAATTATCGCGTAATTGTTAGATATCGTTTTCGATATTTATGGCGCTTACGTGTCCTAGCTGGTTGCATATAATGGTTGAACAACCGACCGGTAACTCGTTCCCCTGGGCCCCTCCGTTTGCTACGTTTGGCACGATGTCATCCAGATGCATCAAAAATAGCTGCGAAAAATTGAATAATTTTGTCGCGTGTTTGGAATTTTATCCGACGACAGTTTCTCATCAGTTTCATCAATTGGAATTAATATAGGTGCAATTCCTCTACCTGTTGGTACGTGTACATACATATGTATATCAGCGTACCTTGTGAAAGGGAACGTTGGCTCCGTCCGACGTTCCTTGGATTTCCCTAAGATATCCGGGAAATTGTTGTTCCACGCAGCGAAGAGTTTCCTCGTAAATCTTTTTACCAGCTGCGGTCTCGTAAAGCGGTATGTAAGTTTCGTTCAGGGGTCGATAGATGTTTACATACCGTTGAATCAATCCGGAAAATGTCCGCCCCTAACGAAACAATTTTCAGTTTCGTGATATCGTCGTCGCGAAACTTGTATCGTATGATTTTCTCGTGAAAAAATTTGGCGCGGCGAAAGAAAAACGAAAGAAAAACGAAAGAAAGAAAGCCGGTTACACGTAAGTACACCTGTGTACATACCTATACGTATATCATTTTACCGAAGAACGCGCGAGAACTGGAGTCGCGTGTGCGTATTATGTAACGTTTGGTTGCGCAACGTGTTCAATCTGTGAGGAACAAGGTGCGAGAACAACGATTCGCAACTGTACCGCGATATCTTGTATCGTGTTTCGAGATGCGTTTACCTGCCTACCCTTTTTCTTTCATGTTTAATTTCAGTTGTTCTCGATCCTCGGAATCCATGACAATCGTTCGCATTTAATGATATGCTTGTTGAAAAGCGAGAGATGGAATAACTCGTTATCTCGAGCATAAAATACAAATTAAACAAGTTGTAGATTACGGTTTCAGTTTTATACGCAACGGTGCGTTACATTACGGTATAGTTAAAAAGAACCAGACGCGATGGAATTTACGATTTTAGAATACTCTTTTAGTATCTTTCATATGATCCATGTACATAATACATATGTATACGTAGGACGCGTACGTGTGTATTAACAGGTTCGGTTTGCTTCTGATCTCGATTCTCAGTTGGATAAGAGCCGGGACTCGATCGCAACATCGATTGAAAATCAAATGCAGCGAATTATCGAAATAAGTAAACGATAACAACTAAGTAAGTCGGCATCACGCGGTTTTACTCGATAGTAGTTTCCTATCTTCTCCTCTTCCTTTCGCATCATCGATCGCAATCATCGCAATTAACTCATTATAAAGATTTTTATGTAACTACATTTCTTAATAAGTTTTTCTCATTTCTCATTTACGTTTGTGCAAATATGTATTGAAATCCTCGCATCTTGAAATTATGTGCATATTTCTCACGATAACAAGATACGCGTACAGATTCGAATCGAGAGCCCCGACAAGTTCCGACGAAGGAAATGAAATTCTTACGATATCGAAGCCAATGTCGTAATGTGTTCCTCTAGTGTAAATGACAGGAATCGCATTCCTTCTCCCAATATACTTTGCCTCGGGTAGGTTCACCGAAGGATATTCCAGCGTAGCCATTCTTCGACCACTCGTCGCCTGTTTCGAATCAGTGAAATTTTTCGTTAAGAGACAGTTGTCGTCGTTGCGACTATAGTTTCGATACTATTTCGTTACACGCTTTCTCGAGTACGTTATCGAGTTTACCACTTGCCCGTTTCTCTCTGTAACATTGGCTCTCGACGTGTTTTGATACGCTTCAACGTTTCTACATTTTTCTCCCTTATCGTTGGAAACCGCGTTTCTCCGATTCTTTGTAAGTATGTACGTACCGAGCGCGGACGCGGCCACTAACTTACTACCACCGCAAACTTCCATCCATCCATCCATCCATTTCTTTCTTTCTTTTTCATATTCTCATATTCTCTACATACTATACATATATCGTAAGCTACCAAATCCAAAAATTGTTACAATTTCGTTATGCGATCGTCGCGTGCATTATGAAATTTGAAAAGCTCGATGCTCTTTTAGATTAGATTTTTCAACTAACGCGAGACACTGTACGCGAGGGTACAAGATCTTTTGTAACCGGACGACGCGAAGCGCGCGCGATTCGTGTTCGGCGAACATACCTGCGTTTAATTTCACGCTTAAACTTCTCCTTTGGTCAGGATTTTATGCTTATCGTTGAAAGGGTTCCACGTTCCGATGGACCAACTATCGAAATACAAACGATTGCTAAAGACGTAAAGCAATTGGAAGGAAACAGTCGTAGACACGTCGTTGCAACTACGATGAACGTTGCGCGACTGACGGTTTACGATCGACGTCTCCGCTACGAAGACCGTCTAATCTACCTTTTATCGACTTCCATCGATTAGCCGAGTTGTGCGACATGGATAGTCGAGTCACTTCCACGGGAAAAATAATTCCCCGACCTTCCGTTTAGATATGTATTGTGCTTTAGCATTACCATCGATACCGCCACGCGATCTTGTCACGCATACCCTTAACTTTCTTACAAATTTTTTTTTTTTTTCAACTCGTACACTCGCGCGCGTCTTTTGATTCGACTACACGAAAACATTGTATCGTTAACGCTCGCGATCTTTTCAACAGATTTAAACAATCATCTTCGTTTTCATTAATCGAGGAAGATTTCATTGAAGCCGCATTCGGAACTATCTACCGGTGACATACCGGTTGCTCGGTCTTCTCTATTCGCCTTGGCCGGCTCGATCATCCATGCATGGGGTCAGGCTGTAATATTTCTCAACTATTTGTTCGTTTTTGTCGCAAAACAAAATCGTTCGCAACGACGCTAACGTCCTTCTTCGCCCCTCCCTCCCTACCACCCTGATGTTTTAAATTACTACTTTTCCTTCTTTGTCCGGAAATGTAAAATTATAAAACACCACCCACCCTCTCGTAATGTTGCAACCGTTTGTCGTTATCGTTTCATCTATTTTCGTGCATGCTTCTCGAAGCGTCGAGGTCAGACCGTTTTACCGTTCGAATATTTTCCTTTCCATGCACATGTCATTTTCCATCATCGCGAAAGATAAGGGGAACTGGGCCAAGCTGGAGACAACGATATACATATAGCAATTTAAAATCCTAGCCCCGTTATTACGCGAGAATAATACATATACGGGGCTAGATCTGTTCGCTTTAACAAAAACTTACAGTCTCTATCTCGTTGCGTACTTTTACGTTCAAGTCGAGATCTAGACGTTTCAATATTGACATTGAAACCATGTCACGCGTCGTATGTAATATACGTATACCGTCTCCTTCTTTACGAAACATATTGATAACTAATGATCCTCTCTTGCCTATTAGATTCTAGATACAGATACGCAATTACGTTCCCGGTAATCTAACTTCTGGTTTTATTGTGCCCCGTTAAAGGAAACATAGCCGCGCGGTTGCTCAGCCCGGTAACCCACAGACGATACTTACACCTCTATCGCTTCCTCCGACCCTCTCTCTGTCTCGCATTATATCTCTATTCCTCTTTATACATATTTTCTCCGGCATCTCTTTTCACCGCGCATCCTTTGTTACACTCGTATCTTCCACAGAAACCGAATTACGGAAATTCTTCTTGTAATCAGAGACCGCCAGAGGGCGGAGGGGGGAGGTAGGGGGGGAGAGAGAGAGAGAGAGAGAGAGAGAGAGAATAGGATAGGAAAAGAAGAAGAAATACTAATATGATTCTGAATGCAAAACATAGCCAAATATAATTATGTGCTGAAGCACGGATACGAAGAAACCCCGTACACACTTGACGGTGCACAGTCGGCCATTATTCTGGCTTCCCAATAAGTGTATTCGCCGGCTGTAAATGGACAGGAACGACGAGAACTCGTGTCTTTTTTACGGCTTCCTTAAGAACCTTCATCGATCCCGTCGTCGTCGCATTATTACACAAAGACTGACGCGAGTGAACAGGCAGACTAGCGGAGAACCAATCGAGACAACTCTTCCGACGCGTTTAACGTTTCTTAAAAAACTGTGTTCGAAAAAAAATGTTTCACCAACGACGACGAATTTCCTGTTTCCATCGTTCGACGATTTAAACCTTACGATACTTAACCTTGAATATTAACCAACAAACGTCTGAAATATATTAGGATTATGCGAAACTGTATCTCGTAACGCACGATGAAACATGAAAATCGCACTGTTATCTTCTAACAATTTATTAGTATATATTGTAAGTTATCTGTGTGTATGTACATATTTGGGAGTTTGTACGCAACGTTTAAACGTACTTTACAGACCACATACTTTGTAATTTATCGTACGACCCTTTTCACTTCTAATCAGCTTTAAACAGAACCAAGCTGCAAAAACCATCAATCGCTCCCTTTTTTCTCTACCGCACTCCTGCTGGCTGGGGCTACCACTATCCTAAAATTAACACATTTTCCACGCACTGGCGTAATTTTATTACCGAAACTATTTCTTCTTTCAAGTAAAAACTGGACCAACAGGTTGTCACGATTAAAATGATATGTATTTCTGTCGATTAGAGGGTTCTCCTCGCGATGATAAAAGAAAAAAGAAAAAACATAAAAAATGGAAAAAAGAAAAAAAGAAAGAAACTTCCTTTATTTTATCGATTGTTTGCGTGTAATTTGTCGCGAAACAGGAGCGAGAAAGCAAAAGGGAAAGACGTTGGTTTCGCGCGAAAGATACTTGGATAATCGACTAGTTATCGCGTTAGATAACAAGATATACAATCGCCTGATACACGCGTCCGTTCGTTATTTAAATATTTTACTATGAAAAACAATTCCGCGCTTTATTTCGCTTTCGGCTTATACAGGAAAAAATAGAAAAGAAAAAGCATCGTTCAATGTTGGGAAACTGTGTAAGTTCGGTTCTACGAGAACGAGTCGTTCGGTCATTGTACAAAAGTCCTGTTCCGATCACGCATCGTTTAAGCGACCAGAATATCACGACGTTGATTCCGTAGAGGCGCGTGTGTTTGATAAAAGCTCAGTCTTGTAGAAGAAAGTTAGTCTCTTGAACGTCGATGAGTGAAAATCATCGATAGAAAAATATCCTGTCGACAAGTGCTGAGCAGTAACTCCTTCCTCGTAGGAACGAAAAGACTGAAATCCCGAGAACATCCAGTTACCCGGTTGACAAGTATAACACTCAACGCGTTGCAGCATGTTTCGCTCGTTGAGCAGCTATCCGTTCGCTTCGTCTTAAAGTTCGGGGAGGTGATTCTGCGTTGCTTTCCTCTTCCGAATCGGAATCGTCAACTGCGGCTTTTCCAGCGTATCGCCAACGGACAATCGCACCATCCCACTGAATCAGAATATGTATTTAGTTTTGCGCGTATATGCAACGAGCAACGAGCAACGAGCAACGAGCAACGAGCAACGAGCAACGAGCAACGAGCAACGAAAATCGTTCCAATTTAGCGACACTTACGGACGTAGATACAATCTCCTGGTGAAACGGATGCCAACTAACGTCGCGTACGCATCCTTTGTGTCCCACCAAAGTACTAACTATTCTACCCGTTAAAACGTCGTATACTAAAATCAACCCAACAATGTTTAGTTGCTGTATCTGTTCGACGAATAATCTCTTAATTATTTTCCTTTCTATCAAATAACAGTTTTTTAACCTACTTATTACCCGTCCAGCCGCACATCCCGTGTATATGTACCTTTGACCAGTAATGGAAGAAGGAGAAAAATGACATCGTATCAAAGACTGAAGCACAGAGTGACCGCGATAGGTCATAACGCTGGTATCACCTTCCAACATATTTCTTACTTTGTAAACTATATAGAAGAAACGAAATTACGATTAACGATTAAACGAACGACACGTAGGAAAACGGTCGTGCGATAAAATGTTGATTGATTATCCGTTGGTTACTCACGTCGTTTCGGTACTCGTTGCCACCGGTAATCCCAAGTTTGATTCGCAACAGCTTTTCGCGTATTAAGTTCACCATTGTGATCGGAAAATGCACGCACGTCCCATAGTTTGATAGTTTGATCTTTACTGTTGGTGATCAGATACCGACCGTCACCTCTCGGGTCGATATACGTTATGCCATCCATGTGGCCAGCCAACATTCCAACCGGATGTGGATCGCTTTCGTTCAACGTTCTCCTATCCCAAACCTATGTGAACGAAGAAACGGCAGGAGAGCAACAGAAGGAGAGAAAGAATAGAAAGCGTGTGCGCGCGTACGAAAAAACTAAAGATAGTACCTTACAAAGGCCATCGTCACCGGCGCTGTACAAAATCTGCGAAGTATTATCAGCGAATGCAACTGTATTTACGTCGTTGTCGTGACCTTCGATCTAGAAATTATGGAACGGTAAATACTAGATTAAATTAACCCCTTGGCGTACAAATGACGAGTGAGCGAACTCGGGCCAAAAGCAACAAGCACCGGTGAGTGTGACTCGTGGTAATTGGTTCGGTGTTGTGGCCCGAGCAGTCGGGAGTTGGCAGGTAGGCCAGGGGGTTAACGCAACAACGTGTAATCTACAAACCCTGAAGGCGCGTTGTTGACATTCTCTGTCGTAGACATACAGATAACCATCGTTTGCACCACCCAGAATTTCTCGTCCGTCACTAGAAAATACAAGAGAAAATACGCAAAACCTTCGATCCTCTGGACACAATGGTAATGATTCTTGTACCTCCGCTTCCCCGTACACTGCGCACAGATGTACTGAAACATAAACCATCTCGTAGCATCAAACTCCTTCTATCATCGACGGACGACGGATGCCCTGTTACCACGGACACTTGCAACACTCATACTTACAATATTCTGACCAACTCGAGTAAACAATATAATTCCCATCCGGACTAAACGCCGTATCTAAAATACTCCAACCGACATCTCGCGCAGGAATCGTTTTGAATTTTACAAAATGTCCGTCGTGTGTCTGATAAAGACGCAGAAATTTATCTGTGGGGGGGTGGGGGGAAGGAATTACGTTAAAAACCAGGCCAGCGAATATGGAAATATTTTTGATAAAAATAGAGTTAGACGGGCTTACCTTGACTGGCAGTCAAGAAAAATCTTCCGTCCTTGGAGTAGGAACCGCAGAATGCTTTGGCATTGTATCTAGCAACTTGTTGCAACGTATTTGGCAGAAAACTACTGCTTATTCTGCACCTTTCTCCCATACTGAAACTGGGACCTAAGGCTCTTCTTTGAATCATCGACGTAACGGAATAGTTACGTTTATCAACGTCGCTTATAAATCCAGACGCCAGTTTCGTGGCAAGACTTATTTCACTTTTCTAAAAACAATACACCACGTAAAACTACATCCACGAGTAAAATCGTGTCGTGTATTCTGTACAAATAACGAACATCTAGTCTGGACGTGTTTGGCAAAGACGTGATTCTTGGCGGCGCTGAATTCGCAGCATATTCTTCATCCGAGTCATCGTGATCCGACGATATGATGTGCAGTTGGCCGCTGCAACGATGGAACGAAAAGCGTTATACTCTCGATTCCTGTGGAAGTCGAAGAGAAGGATCGAGAAGGTTAGGAGCTTTCTACGAGCTTCGAAGACTAAAACGGATTAGAGGGATCTACGAAATTCGTTAAAAGGAAAAACGAACGTTTCCTCGGAAAGTTTTAATCGTTACGCGCACATCGAAACGTATAACGAGAAGAGAATAAATCGTCCAGAGAGGTTAGAATTTCTCTCTTTCTCTTTCTCTTACTCTACTCGTCACTCTGTATCTCGTTCTATCAACGCGTACACATATATTCAGTCGGAGGAATGGTTTACAACGATATTAAAGTTTTCGTTAACTAGATTACATTCACCCAACCTGCGTAACAAATACTGTAAGACAGCGGCAAGTCCTGGATCATGTTCGATGTCCATAGTCCGTGAATTAACGTCTATCATGCAGCGAACAAACGAATCTTATTTACTGTCTAAAAGCAAACAAGGAAAACGTCCAAGGGTTGATGGCGTTAGTGCAGTGACTATGACAGTTGAAACAGATGATGACAGGAACGAAGAATGCGCCTGAGAACTTGGTACGCGGAGGAGAAAGGAAACCGAACGAAGATATGTAAAATCTTCCTTTTATGGCACGTGTAAAAAGTTCTCATCGAGAAAACTAACAGATTTAATTTGCGATTGTAGCGATAGTGCGGCGTTTATAATAAACACGTCTAGAGAGACTTGGGGAGGGAGAGAGAGGGAGAGAGGGAGAGAGGGAGAGGGAGAGAGAGAGAGAGAGAGAGGGAGAGCGTGGGAAGAGATTTGGTATGGTGGCATTGCAACGAAGCATACACGCGCGCGCGCGCGCGTGTGTGCGTGCGTGTGTGTGCGCGTGTGTGTGTGAGAGGGAGGATCGAGAAGAAAAGAAATTGACGCGCACGAGATCCTTGTAAGTATTGTTTTGAAATTGTAATTCTCTGCTCGTATACATCCGAAATACGCGTTAATTGGGTAACGTATCCACGTATACGGGGTGATTATTCGAAAATTTTGAATCGTTTTATAATGTTCGGTAGCAAAGAATTTCAAACAATTTAGACGGCGAAAGAATGAAATTCCGTGAATTGGTTTGAAAATCTCGAGTCGGTACCATAAGGGTTATGTAGAAATATATGTATATTTTCCCGCGCGATTAGGTGACAGCAGGATAGGGATCACAGAAAAAGATCGATCGGCAACACGTGTGTTCGATTGTAGAGGTAATCGTTAATAACGAGAATCGTAGCTAGCGTCTATCGATTGTTTCTTAAACGTTAGTTATTGCGTATACGCGCATATGCGTATTCGACTTTGGTAGGCATAAATTGATATACATACTCCGTGGCGATATTGGTATCAGGAGTATCGTGCGGGAAACATAACCCATAACCCGCACCGCGTAATCAGTTCTCCCTACCTTCGGTGAGGGCTATACCACCGTCCCCTAACCCCGATCTCCGGTCCTCTATCCCCTGATTCGTAACCTCAGCTACCTGCAGTCCAGGCCAATAATTTTCAGCCAGACTTTTCCAGCCTGGCCAGAGCCGACGGAACCGGAACCGGAACCGGAACCGGAGCCGGAGCCGGAGCCGAAACCGGGGGTTCTAGCCAAAGCCATACCCGGGACTGTGAGACGCGCAAGCGTCGTTTCGCCACTTGGTCGGAAGTTTCTCGCTCCTCGCTCCTCGCATCAACGACGATATCGTTAATTCGTACAACGGCAACGACGTCATCGTCGAAGAGGAGGTCTACAAGGACGATAAGAAGGAGGACAGCTAGGACCGCGATCGAAACGAAAACGACGATTAGAAGGACGAGGACGTAAAAGGTTGTTTAAAAGACTGATAAATAGAAGACCGACTAAACGAAAGCATATTAAAAAGAGGGAAATGTAAAAGGAGGAAAACATGTTGGTGGCGATGTACGTACTTACCTACGTACATACAGGGATCAATTAATTATTGCCATTTAACGCGGTACGCGAAACGTGTGTTCCCTTCTTTTTCTATAAAAGTGTCGCTCGCTAGATGGCGCGTCTCATTACGTATCGAGAAAGAATCTCGATAGACGTAACTTAACCACGAATGCTTATAAAATAAGATAAATAACTACTTTATCAACGGTTGTACGATATTTATAATTTAGATGTATTTTAAGATTAATTTCAGGTACATCGAACCTACGTACCTACATACGACGAGTCGCGTGAATTTCAGTGAAAAAATAATATTTCGATAATTAGTAGACGATATTTCGGATCGAATTTATTTATTGGTTATTGGCCGATAGGTTAAATAATTATTTATTAAAGGTATCGTTACGTTTCGAGAATGAAATTGAATAGGTGTAGTCTAATATGGTATACGACGACGACGAGTAGTAGAAAATAAGAAAGATCGCAGGCAGGGTGCAACGTGTTAAACGAAGAAATTTATCTGAAATACGTATCGTAGGATTTTGAAAATGAACCGCGATGGTTTGATATTGACAAGATAAGATTGATAAGCTAGTAGAAAGTTGAAAATACGCCATCTAGCGTTTCAGCGAAGCTAGAGTTGGAAGTTGAGGAGGAGGAGGAGGAGGAGGAGAAGGAGGAGATGGGGCAGGAGGGTGCCGTATTCCCCTAAAACGGCAAGAATTCGAGGACTCTGTTTAACATGTCTCGACTAGATCGAGAAGAGGGAAGGGAGAGGGAACGTAGTCCGAGCAGCGTCGCAATTTGTATCGGTGCTGGTGTAATTGCGCGTCGTGAATCGTGCTCGAGCGTTCCTTTGGATTTCTCTCGCGCGCTCTTAAACAGGACTAGCGCGCGCGTGCTCCGAGGTGCAGCGCATCGCGCATACTACCCTTCTTTTCGTTTATTCCTGCTGCTTATAGTGGTGGTTTTATGCGAGGTGGACGATTCCTAGTTCTCGGCCGCAACAGGTGAGCCATTCTCGAATTTGAGCTACCTTGATTCTTCTTTGCTACGGATTAATTCTTTTGTCTAATACGGTAACGTTATTTGACGAGCAATAGGAATATTCTCGCGTACGAGGACGATTCGTGATTCGTTGATCGTTTAGGAGTTGGTGGTATTTTCGAGTCGGCTCCTCGCGACTCGGACTAAACTCGAATCGATCGAGTTAGCCCGGCCGCAGGATGGATTAAACTGTAATCGACCGTAGCTCCTGTTTTCTTCCTTGGCCGCGGGGGTGTCCTTTCGACGGATAATATCTCGAGGGGGCGGCTATCATCACCGTTTCTATATCCATTCGAAACGTTTAAGTTTGCTCGCGAGTGAATATCAAGTTGTTTCAATTTCAGCTCGAAAGTAGTCTATCCGTTGTTTAATTCGCGGAAACGTTCTCGAAGCGAACGACTTGTTTCCACGTTAAACAAAACTAAGAAAAACTTGAGTGATAAAATTTAAGTGATTTCGCGAACGAGCAAGCCAACATTCCAAGATTTAGGTTCGGGTTGTAGTTTCCATCTGGAAAAATTGAAACTCTTTTATTATCCTGGTACGTAGATACATAAGTACTACGTAAGTAGTTGGTCGCACGTCGATTCGAAACCGACGAAACGCTTTGCTTGCGTTGCGTGTACGCGTGTGCCGTGGCTGTCCAGACATCAAGGCACAAGTTTTCTATTTTCCGTTAATGCAAAGATTACGCGAATCGATTTTCTATCGGGGTCCCAAGGATTTCTTAACATCTTAAAGAGATTATCATGGTTTCGGGAATCGGGTGTTTTTATTCGTGGTGGTTGCGAGCCAGCAACGGTCGACGATGCAGTCGATTACGTTGGAATTTGCGAATAGGAATAGGAATAGGACGAAAGTCCTGTAAGAAAAGGAGAATTGGATAGGATTGTGAGATTTTGAAGGAATCGAACCGCGTCGAATCGTACGCTCGTACGATAGTTTGTAGGTAGGCAGGCGATAGATGATACCGTATGGCACGAAAGATGGAAATAGGTAGATGGAGGAAGAGGAATGAATCGGTAAGAAGGGTAGAGATCGAAAAGGAGACACAAGGACGATCAACGATCGCCGATCGCCGATCGCCGATCGCGTATACATATACGACGCGTATACATATACGACGCGTATCCTGGCGAGATGGGGAATAAGATTTTCAGCACGTTTTGTTTCGGCAGGTACGTTTGAGGAATAGCGGCAGACCGGGCGAAGAAAGACGAGGAGAGAGAGCCGCCAGGGTCGGGTGGTGTCGAGGTCGGTCGGAGGGAGTGAAGATACTCGATCGAAGGTGATCCGATGAACGGTGAAGATTAACGTTATCAGGTTTTGCTAATTATGTTTGCAAAGTCGAAAAGCAGTGGCTCCATGCCGAGCGTCCTTTTGTCGAATCCCCTTCAACATTTATACGACGTTGGGAAACAATCGGCCACCGCAGGTCCCGAGAACGCTTGGCGCATATACGATGGTCGCACGAAAGCGGATGGTAAGGTAAGATTATACGTATGTAGCGTCGGATCGGGTCGCGATGGCTTTGAAAAATTCTTGACGGCCTTCGAACACCTCGAATAATATTGTTCGAATCGTTGGTACGTTTACTCACGGCCGATTCGTTGGATGAATTCTAGGCAGTATCGATATTTTTGTTCGACAAAAGATCGGTCGAAAAGGTTTACAAACCAAAGCGAAAGGAAGCAGTGACGGAAATTTTACGAAACGGCGTACGACAAATGGAACATTTTTCTCATCCGAAAATACTTCAGGTACTTGATTATTAATTTAATAATGTTTGGTGGTGCGCGATGTATCATCACCGAGCCCCGTTACTAATCGTTGTTTACTTATATTGTTGTAATCGACAGGCGTACAAAGTCGAAGAGTGCGCGGATAGTCTGGCTTTCGCCTCGGAGCCGGTTTTGGCAAGCCTCGCGAACGTTTTGGCTTACCAGGAGCAACAAGCGAACAGTCCTGGTGGTCAGTCGGCGAGCAGTCTAACGAAACAAAATTCTTCAACGACCAGTCATCGTACCGTTTACGCAAAAGAATACAAATTGCTCGATATTGAAATCAAATACGGGCTTCTTCAGGTAAAATAAGCGTAAAATTGATGAAACGACGAACAACGTTCCTCGATTCGTACATGATTCATATTTTTTTTATTACCCTTTTTTCTTTTCTTATTACTGTTTTCGTTCTGTGTGTGGCCCGATAACGTTCAGATCACCGAGGCGCTGTTGTTTCTTCACGGTGTGTACAAAATCCTTCATCGAAACATATGCCCTGCGAGCATTATAATTACCAAAAGAGGCACTTGGAAATTGTCTGGTCTGGAATTTATCGGTGAGTCGCGGCGAATCTCTGCTGGTCTGCTGGGTTGGTTTAATATATCGCTCGATCCGTGATATCGTGGCCCTCACCATATGTCCCTTGTTCGTAGAAAAGGCCAACGATCTACCGATACCGTTGCAACCGTGGACAAACCGCGTGCCGAAAATGACGCAGCCGAATCTGAATTACATAGGTAAGTTAGGAATAATGGTAAGATTTGTAAATGGTAATTGCGATAGGTGATGAAACGTGTTGTGATCGTAGCCCCGGAAGTGCAGCAAAAGAAACTGGGAAGTTTCTACAGCGATATGTACAGTTTCGGTATGACTATATGTGCGATTTTCAACCAAGGACGGCCACTGATACAAGCGAATCATAGTTGTTCCGAGTATCTGAAGCAAATAGAGAACGTGAGTGATCACTGTTTGTTCGCAGGTTTGTTTTACATGGACTTTGGAAAGAAATTGTCGTTAGCCACGGTTCTTTCCAAGAGTTGCGTTTTCTATTTCGCTTTCCAACGTTTCATCGTGATCGTGGTCCCAAAGGGGCATTTTTGGTTCTGTTGCACCGCAGCTCAAGGAACAAGTCTCCGCGATATTACCCTTGATTCCGCTTCCACTCCAAGAAGCCGTGACTCGTCTGTTACTGGTCGAGCCGGAGCAAAGGCCAACCGCTCAAGTCTTATCGATGATTAAATATTTTCAGTACGTAGGAATGTTCAGTACTGGTTTTTGCAAACGAGCCAACATTCGGTATACCGTATAATCCGGTTAAATAATATTTTCTATCGAGTTTTGTAAATGTTTGTTAGGGACCCACCGGTACATGCTCTTCAGTTTCTTGACTTGAGCAAGATGAAAGACGTGGCGCAGAAAGAGCATTTTTACAGGACCACTCTGATGGAAATATTGCCTTATACGCCAAAGGTACTTACATGGTTCGTTGTCGTTTATCAAACGATTGCTTTTAATCGAACCTGTAATCGACTCGCGTTCCTTTTTAATACTCGCAGAAATTATGGTACCAACACGTGTGGACGTATCTGCAAAGCGAGTTGGAAGGACAAGAAGTTCAATCGGCCGTACTATTGCCGGTGCTTTATATCGTGCAGAACAGTACGCAAGAGGAATACGACGAGATCGTGTTTCCATCGTTGCGGTAAGTGTAAGAGGCTACGTGTATGTAGCTACGTGTATGCTACGTGTATGTAGCTACGTGTATGCTACGTGTATTTTAGCTACGTTTGCTCTTTCGTTGGTTCGTTTATTCGGGATCGGTAACGCGACCTGACGATCCGTAGGTTGCTCTTCGCGAATCGCAAAACGATCCAAGGAACGGTTACTTTGTTGGAAAAATTGCATTTGATATTGAAAAAAACTCCTCGGGAATACGTGAGGACGGAAGTGCTGCCGATGTTGTACATGTCGTTCGAGAGTTCAAACAATCAGGTACAGGTACGTAAAGGAACGGCAAGGTAAGAGCGAGGAGCGTAGAGGGGGCGCTAGTAGAAATAAGCTATTAGAAATATCATTGCAGACAGCATCGTTCGTAGCTGTGTCAAACGTGACCGATTACATCGACGACGAAGCCGTTCGAAACATTATACTGCCGAAATTGCTACAAGCGTTTGAAAAGAATTCGGTAGACTGTCGGATACTTATGAACGTAATTCCCTGCATCATAAACCGACTAGAAAAGCAAAAGGTCATTGATTGTATTTTACCGATGTTGTTTAACGTGAAGCTTCAAGAACCGGAGGTGGTCGTACAAGTTGTGAGTGAGTATGCGATTAGACAGTAGACTGGTATCGTAGAATTCGTTCTATCCTATCGTTCCCTTCCGTTCCGAGCGATGAAAGCGTTCTGTTTCTACTCTTACTAATCCGTCGCACCGGAAACGGGGCCGGTTATTCGTCTCCGTTAGAAATTTACAGATTAATGCTGACCGATAAAAAGTACGGGCTTTCGGTAAGCTGGATGGCTACACGGGCAATGCCCTCGTTATTACCGCAAACGATCAACCCTGCGCTGAATCTCGAGCAATTCGAGCTACTTTTGAAAGTTTTGCAGGATATGCTCGGTAACATCGAGAGGTGAATAAATTGAACAATTTTCGCTAAATAATTGAAGGTAATTTAGCTGATTATCTCGTTTATTTTTTCAAACAGAAATCAAAGAAATCATTTGACGTTGGACAATTTATCGTTGTCGAGCTTCGAGAAACATCATCGAAACTTACGACATCAGTATAGTACGGATAATATGCACGCACCATCGTTCAATATACCAAATCTGCTGATCGATCAGCGTAAAACATCTTCCGCCGAGGATATGGCTAGGAAAAATAGCATCGGTAAGAAGGTTACTTTTACGGAGAAACGTTACGTTTCTACTGGTTGTTTACTGGTTGTTGTTTTGTACGTTTGTTTGGTCCTAGATATGATATCGATGACAGCTTCGGCCGAAAACATGACGAGAAAAAACTCGATGACGGGTAAGCGAGATTTGATTTGAACAAAAGAGTTTATTTGTAAAGGAGTCTCGATGATTGATTCGATTCTGTATGGTTCGCATTAGCCATGTTCCGTTGGTTATCGTCATCGAACGACAACAACTTTCTGAAAGTGGCCAACACCTTTACAAGCAGACGGTTATCCGATAATACTCTGATGACACCAAAGATACGCGTACCACCGTCGTGCGCAAGCTCACCGGGCGGCACACCCGGTGGTGGACTACCGATTCGACGTCACTCGAGCACTGGTTCGCAAGATCGTCGCGCATCCAGCATTAATTTATCGCCTCCCACGGTAACGTATACCAAAAATGAATAAAGCTGTGCGAACATTTTTATTTTCTACCTGGATTCGATAGGGCGGAGGAATGCCGATTACCAGTAGCAGCGTCCCATACTTGCTCAGCTCGAGTTTGAACAGTATACGCAACACGAGACGGCCGTCCGTCTCTTCCACGTCCTCCCAGCAAGGTTCCGGACTGCTGCAACAGGTTGGATCCAGCATGGTAAGACAACAACCCCCAATCTGCCTCAACCTCAATGGACCACCATCACAACCACCAACACTTTCTCCATTACTCCAGCTACCGGGACAGCCTTCCCACTGACCCTCCGTTAAAGCGTAAGGATACTCTCTAGCTTATCCATTCTCGTCGCGACATCGTAACCCAATACATATGTATACATACATATACAAGCTACTTGGAAAATATTGCTCGGTCAGGCACAATTCCCGCTTCTATCCCTATTCTATTGCTCTCTCTCTCTCTCTCTCTCTCTCTCTTTTGGAAAAGTAAGAAACAAACGGAAGGTTTTTATTTTTCTAATCTAGTGTTTCTTTTTTTCTTTTAGTTTAGTTTACGTAAAACGTTAAAGAAACGCGAAAATAAAATAAACGAGAGAGAGAGAGAGAGAGAAAAGAAGAATCGATGGGGTCTTGACCGGGCAATATTTTCTCATTCGTGCCGTATCGCTTCGCTTTTCGCTTTTCGATAACAGTTTGATCGTTTCTTCGTCTTGTATTATTTGCAACAGTGTTTCTCTTTTGCACAGTTTATTTTGCAAAAAGTGTGCGTTGCTCGGTGAAATACGATTGCTCGTCTGACACGAAGCGGTGATTTTCGAAGGTAGCTCGTTGGTTCGTTGTCATTTAGGAGAGGACGATTAGAAGCCAGGCCAGCTAATCTTTCGCGCAAGAGGACTGTGATAAAAAGCCCGCGGGCCGGCACTTTGCTCGCGATGGAACATCTTTTACCGATTTCTAACAAGTTTATTCTACGAAAACTTTCCCCTCCCTCACCTCTCTCTTTCTCTAAGCTTACAATATATTTATCTATTTACCTAATTACCAATCTTTTATCTATCTATTATTTCCATTAACTCGCGTATATCTATCTATACGAATGTTTCGCTTTCAGGCTATTTTTATCCGTATTCGACCGATCCACGCAACAAACAAATTGATTCTTCTTCCTACGAAATGTTTCATAATGTATAAAGAAACCTTGCCCACGAAACGAAACAATAGTCGATCGTTCGATCGATCGTTCGATCGATCGATCGATCGATTCCCAGCGAGTACAATGCCAATCGTTACAATGGTTATTTTCTTTGTTCTGTTACAGTGCCAGTTTCTCAGCAAACAGTTTGACGCTAGAACCATGACCCCACGACGCTAAACCTCCATACGAAATTCAAGATACTACCGAAGGTGTAACCGTCTTTGAAACACTGTTTTATGTATTACACGAATACTTTCTATCGTTGGATAACACAAAGAGCCTAAACATTCATCGATACGAAACGTCCGAACGAGTATACAAGTTTGTCTTCTTGTTTGGAAATTGAACGTTGCTAGGTATTCGAAAGTGGCCTAACTTGGATCGTAGATCGTACCACGTCCCCGCAACGATTACCTATCGATGCGTTTATCGAACAATATCGGTCTTTGTCGTGTACAGGTATTCGCGTTTCCTTTCGAAAACGTTTCCTTGTTTTTTTTTTCTCGGTGACACGGTGAATGATTATTTCGATCGAAACGGCGGCAAAGTAATCCAACGTCTCGTTTTACTTTCCGATTACTCGATATCTTGTAATTATCTGTTGGGTCGATCGAGAATGATAACGGTAGAAAGGAAAAGCATGAAAGAATGGATGATAATCGAGGATTCTTCGCCCTGACAATACTCTTTATTTAGTGGAAAGTGAAGGTAGCGATAGATAGATGGAAGAATCGAAAGGCGAAATAAGAGAAAAACTGAGGAGAAAAAGTAGAATGTTTAAAAAGGCTTGAAAAATATTGCGTTCGATCCGTGTTGGAAAAAATACTGCATTCGACGTACACCATTAAGATTTTCAATCGGTTATTTCGAAACGAATAAACGTAGAACGCGCGAGACACGATGTAGGAGTAGAAACGGATGTAGGAGTAACAGAGCTATGAAGCGAGCGAAAAGAGGAGAAATTAACGAGTGGTCTGTGTTAGAAAACGAGTACTAAAAACGAGATGTTGGGAAGATGTTCGGAAAATGTTCTGCATGCACACATACATATCAAATGTACGGAATCGTACGCGCGATAACTTAAGTATCTACGTACATACATATACCTGGCAGCAGTTGCACTCTTTGATCGATTTAGAAAATTTTTTGAAACTCGACATATATGTATATTGTATACATATGTATATGTACGTATCAATAGAATAAATATTTTAAGTACACGCGCACTCGCGCTTACGCGCATATACATATAGAATCCGTCTTACGTGCGTTTATGTTTTTTACCCGTTAAAAGGGCTAGAGAGGAGTTAGGATATTGTACATGTATGGAAAGAAAAAAAGAAAAGAAGGAACGAGTATGCGTTGGTAAATCTCAGTGCGATCTTATTCGGTGGCATTGCCACGAATAATATTTTGATAATATACATATATGTATATATTTAATATCCTCTACGCACGCTGGACGGGACAGTATATCGTATCACTTACATACAGTTGGATGGGTCAAAGCGTAAAAAGTAGAAACGATCGGTGGAATCGTTACTTTACAAGTACGCGACCTTACGAGGTTAAGCGTTGTTAAGGTTCGCGCGGAACGATCATCGATCGGTTCTCTGTAATCGCGATCGTAAACGAATGCGCGTTGTCGAATTGCGGACAATTCTGGACAATCGCGGGCAATCGTGGACAATCACGGACAATCGCGGACAATCGTGGACAATCGTGGACAATCGTGGACAATCGTGGACAATCGTGGACAATCGTGGACAATCATTGAACTTTGACGAGTGTTGGCGAACGGTCGATTCGAGTCGGAAAGACGACGATTGAATTTTCTGCTCTCGTATTCCTAAACTGTTAGTTATTTTTTTTTTTTTTTGTGAAAAGAGAACAGGAAAGCTCGTAACGCCGAAACGTCGCGTCGCGCGTCACTCGTCGTTCACTTTCTCTCGTGGTCTGTTTGCGCATATCGCCAACAGAAGATGACAATCATTCTCTCGAAGCGTCGAAATGGATGTTTGAGAAAACAATAGCTTCTATAATAAGTACCTGCTAGATAATAATTTTCTGTACAGGGCACTCGATGATCCATTAAACCATCATTCCTTTCGAACGAACGATCCTCTATACCAAATGATCTAAACTTTGATCTCGTGTTGCTTCTGTTTACGAATGTTTCATTTTCGAGAAAAGAATTTGGTTCGATCTTTGGTCTTCGATAGCCTAACTTTTCAAACGGTTTTTTTTCAACGAAACTGGTTCATCGAGTGTATTACTCCTGTCAATTGCACGTGCATATGTGTATGTGTCGTAACCTTGGTTCATAATACCAGAAACATGGTTACACGGTGTCGTCGTCGTCGTCGTCGTCGTCGTCGTCGTCGTCGTCATTCCAGTTACCTACTATCGTTGTTATATTCTATACTTTCGTGTGCATAGATATATCGTCGATAAATAATGTGCTCAATAGAATTTGTGTGAAGAATATGTGTTCAATACGGAAAAAATGGAATTTATTCCTACGATATTGTTAGCACATAGACGAGATACAATAAACATTCCCTTCCCAGTTACAGTATTATTCGATCTTATCGGTATAAATGTATATTTCGTGTATTTCTTTCCGAGAATATAATAAAGAACCACCGCAGATTATTTATTTACGTATTCTTTGATTATTTACATTAGATCGACGATATAATATACGAACTGTTGGAAGTTAAGGAGAAATACAGTAGACCAGATCGTATCCCATTGACGCGATTTATCAAGGAGTCGTTTTATACATACAATATCGTTTATTCTATAGTTTCCATGCATTTTATCTAAGATAAAAAAACGGAACGTTTAAAGTTCCGCCAGTACTGAATTTTTTTTCTCGGAAATGCCCAAGATTTCGGGGGAATGTGTAATGACCAAAAATGATTGTAATCGACCCCTGCAACCGAAAATAATTTTTTCAGAATGGTTTGAAATTTTTTAATTTTGTTGAAAAATTTCACACATTCTCAAATTTTTTTCTCAAAAGTGCGTAGGATTTCGGGGGTATATATATTGACCAAAAATGATTAAAATTGACTCCCGCAACTGAAAATAATTGTTTTTGAACGATTTGAAATTTTTTTTTTTTTTAATAATTTTGTTTGACGCCCTACAAAAAAGTTGGCCAATACTTTTTTGTAGGTACCTATGAGCTCTACTTCAGAAAAAAGTTTCATTGAAATATATTCACTATTGTAGGAGTTATGGCTGTTTGAAGATTGGACCATTTTTATGGGGTTTTTCTCATTTTGCGGTGTCAAGGATCAACTTTTCGAATATTTTTGCGATTTCTACGTATTCTTCATTAAAATACGCGTCGTTTGCATTTTTGAAAATTAAAATCCTTCGATCCGTTCAGAAGTTATGACATTTTAAAGATCCGCATGAAATTTTCGGACAACATTTCTGCCCATAAATTACATTTTCGATTAGGAATTTTTTTCTCGAAAGTGCGTAGGATTTCGTGGGTATATGTATTGACCAAAAATGATTGTAATTGGCCCCCGCAACCGAAAATAATTTTTTCCTGGAGGATTTGAAATTTTTTAATTTAATTTTTTAATAACTTTTTAACGAAGGCTCAATCAACAAATTGATATTATTTTTATTTTAGACCACGAAAATTTACAAGGTGAAAGCACACACGAGGTATACGAGTTAAATCTTGAACCTTACGGACTCGAGACTCCCTGATGATATTTTAACTATCAAAAAAATGAAAAGAAAATTTTCTTTACTGGGCGTAAAGACGCGCGTTCGTGTATCTATATTATATTATAGTACGTAGAGTCTACAGCACAAAATGAGTATTGTAATGTGTTCCGAAACGGCAAAACGACGAGCAGTGTGCATCGGCTCAGGCGCCGCTCGTCTTTCGCTAGGTACGGTCCTGAAGAGTATCGCGACAACACGCATGTGCGAGTGCGCGCGCTGCACCGCGTCACAGCTCCAGATCGATGATTGGTCGATGCGTCGCCTCCCATGCTCGCCACCAGAGGAGTCCAGAGGAGTCGCGATCGAGCGAGCCTTGCCGATTAATTTGCTTTAAACTTCCAATGCGTTATTAATATTGTAGGGGACACTAGAGACATTTCCCTAGCGCCTAGGGAAAGTCACTAGATGGAGTTGGCGTGGCAGCTGTGTAGAGCGCCACGCTACGACAGTCGGAATAAAGCTCTGAGACAAGGAACACGTGTCGTACTGATATTCCCGTTATCCCTACGCATCCCTATAATATTGTAGGGAGCATGAGTAACTCCCTAGTTACTCCCGCAGATGGCGCGATTGGCGCCGATGCCAACCGTTGAGAGAGGCCGGGATGCTATAGGGAATTTGTCCCTAGGTACTCCCTGGGGCCTCGAGAGACAAGAGAGAATCAGATGAGGTCTTCCCCGAGCAAGCCTGAGAGACGGTCCAATAATATTATGTGTTTTGATGTATTCATGTATCACTGTTACGTTAATGATTTCAGTTAGTGCATCATTAAAGAATACACGGTCAAATTGTCAGTGACCGTCAGTGGACAATGTCGACCGGCTCCACTAATTCCGTGCGTTCCAGACGCGTCGCAGTTATAGGATTATTGTGTGAAAATTCTGTTAAAACTTGATAACACACTACCAGCGGACACTGTAGCCGGCCATCGTGACCGATTTTCGAAACAATTCTATGAAGCGAAGAAGTTGTACAACACCGTAAAACAAAGACAGTATTTTAAGCATGTTATAACGACGCCTGCGTTACCCGAGGTAAGATTTTTCGAATTAAATTTATTTTTAAACAGAATTTAGTGATTTCTTAAAACAATGATAATCTTTATAACGTTCATCCTGATGCTATAGTATCCGGTAGGATTAGCATACGTAGGATACGAAGGAATGGTTTCTACCATAAAATGCTCATAAAAGCTGAAGAATCCACCAAACTTTTTGATACAATCCGAGTTACGAACGTACGCGACGCCGAGGGTGGTATCGCCACCAGAAGAATCTTTAGATACCGGTACGGTCGTGGATAGTCTCATCGATACTTACGAGTTCATTACCAGGCGATCAATTAGATTCTATGCGAAACGGTTCAATCTCTCCGGATGCATTAGCGGAAAGGTAAACTGAAATAAAGTGCGAATAGAAAGTGTTAATACAATCTCCTTGCATGGAGCCATACTCTCCATTTTCCTCGAGTTTAAAGAAGAACAGGGTCAAAATAGACCCTTAGAGCAGGGTCAAAATAGACCCGAGAACAGGGTCAAAATGGACCCACAGAACAGGGTCAAAATGGACCCACATAGCGGGGTCAAAATGGACCCACATAGCGGGGTCAAAATAGACCCTTAGAACAGGGTCAAAATAGACCCGAGACTAAATAACTACTTCCTGATTTCTTATCTAAAATAGTCACTCACTTTTGGATATCGTTTTTTGACCGTAAAATATAAAAGTGCTTACTTATGCTAGTTCGTAAGAAGCATTTCCGACGCGGATATCATTGTACTTTTTCAGTGTCACGCTCTATGACGTCGCTTCTCGTCTCGAGATATCTGGATGTTATATATCGATAAGAGTGCATAACGAGTCAGTTTAATCAGGAAGGTAGGAATATTGTAATTTTCATAGTTTTTAATATCATAAGAAAATATTGATGCTCGTTACGTGTATCCTCTTATGTAACAGAAAGCCAAAGTGGAGAAGCAAATTGGGTTATTAAAAATGTGAGAAGAAAAATCGGAACGTCGAACCGTTTTTAGCGGAACGCCGACTGGACGAGTTAATAGAAGGTGAAGATATAACTGAACAGGAAGCTCGAAAAGCTATCGAAGGACAAGAGGATATGGACGATATAAAAGAAGAAGTAAATACCACGAAAGGTGAAAATTTGGTTAATACCTTTCTTTTACTAGATTTACGGTTATATTTTATTTTTATTTCGTTCCGGTAAAAGTGTAATATTTTAGGCGTTGATTGGCAAAAATGATTTTACAACTTGTAAAAAAACGGCTTTAGGGTCAAAACAGACCCACAGGAAAGGGTCAAAATAGACCCGTGGAACCGGGTCAAAATGGACCCACAGAGCAGGGTCAAAATAGACCCGTAGAAAAGGGTCAAAATAGACCCGAGACTAAATAACTACTTCCTGATTTCTTATCTATTTTTATTTCGTTCCGGTAAAAGTGTAATGTTTTAGGCGTTGATTGGCAAAAATGATTTTCTAACTTGTAAAAAAACGGCTTTAGAAGGCGATCTACATGATTTATTAGCCGAGAAAGAAGAATTAGATTTAAAGATGGGGAAATTGGAAGTTGAAGGTGAACGGTGCCGTAATGAAACGAATATGCATGCCGATACCATGTTGTATGAATTATTGCGTAAGTATTTAAATTTATTCGATAATAAAATGGTGAATGGTTTATGTTGATATCTCTGATAGAAAGGTGTATTTTTATTTCAGTAAATTGCATCTCCGAAACAGAAGATATTATCGAATATTCATTAAATGGTATCGATAATCCAGCGATGTCAGACCTAACTTGTACTCCTCAATACTCATTAAAAGTGCAATACACGTTGCATATGTTTTGGGTCTTTATTTAATACATGGAAAATCTACATGAAACACATCTATTGATATTGCATCGGGCGATAGTAAGTTACGAAAGTTAAAAAATGTAGAAGAAAAAAAATGAAGAAAGTCATATATATTATTTTGAATTTTATCGTGTTGTAGAATCGACCGACGAATGTAAACAGTTGGGAGTTGGAAGTTTGGTAGAGGCAGAATTGTTAAGTATGGATAAAGCAATAGAAGAAGCTGGTAATCGAATACAGGTAATCGCATATTACATTTTAGTGTAATATAGAAATTGTTTTTATACATGGTTATGACATATTTTATGATCAGGAGATGCTGGAGAAATCTCGCGCTGGTGATTCCGGGTTAAAATTAGAAGTGAACGGAAAAATGTTAGATTCATGTACAGAATTAATGGAAGAAGGAAAGGTACGTCGCTTATTTTGACCGTTAATATTTAATTTATGAATATTAACTATGGTAAGACATTTTGAACCGTAGGGCACAGCCTCTGGAACCGAATTCTAGAAACGTAACCATCAATGGTCCGAAGGGGTCATATCAGCAGCGAAGGCGGTTGCATTTGGTGGTAATCTTTTATTGTAAGTGTAGACGATTTATTTCGGTTTTTTTTTGTTATTAAACCGTAAAATTTGTTTACGCGTGTAGAGAAGCAGAGTAAAAGCAATAACTTGGCTGCACTCTCAGAGGCATCGAGAGACGTAACACAAGCAACTGGAAGTGTTGTTGCAATTGCTAAAAACTGTGGCCATCTTGTGGAAGAGAATGGTAATTGTAGTTACTACTCGTTATACACTATTTGGATAAGGATGATAAAGAAAATAAGCGTTAAAGTTGTTAAGTATTAGAAAGAGTGAATATTTTGAACGATTTACAGATGGAGGCACAAGTTGATGTTTTGGAATCGGAAGAAGCTTTGGAGACTGAAAGATTACGTTTAGCTGCTTTACGCCGCTATCATTATCAACTGGAAGGTGAAGAAGAATGATCGGTACGTATTACCGAAGAATA